AAGACAAAACTAAAATGCTACAATGACATGTTATGTAGAACGAGGGAAAGGCATTTTTCTGAAATTATAGCTAGTAATGTAAATAACTCTCGTGTCCTGTTCGCACAGTAAATAGAAAAAAATCCACCTTCTCAGTTGCCACTAGGGTTTAATACAGCTGCTAAGTGCAACGAGTTTGCTTATTTTTTCAATGAAAAGGTACAGAGAATTTCACTCCTGTCCCACAAACAGAAATTTCCTTAAATCCAACTCGAGAGTATGATTTCCCTAATTTCCTTACTGTCAACAACAATACAGTCCAGAATATAGTTTCCAGCATGAACACGTCAACTTGTAGCCTTGATGTTTTGCCCACTAGGTTTTTTAAGTTAGTGGTAGGCAGTTTTCTCTCAGTCCTCACTGAAATAATCAATTTATCCCTTCAATCAGGAACTTTCCCTGGGCTCTTAAAGTCGCAGTCATCAGGCCTCTTATAAAGAAAAGCAGTCTTGATGCCACAGTGCTGCAAAATTATCGACCAATTTCAAATCTGCCATTTCTGGGAAAGATACTTGAAAAAGTTGTTCATCAACAACTCATGGATTTTTTCTTAGTCAACAACATATTCAATGTGCATCAGTCTGGATTTAGACCGTCCCATAGCACTGAGACTGCACTAATAAAGGTGACTAATGATATTTGACTGAACACTGATGCTGGGAACACTTCAGTGTTAGTTCTATTAGATTTGAGTGCGGCCTTTGATACGGTTGATCATGAAATCCTCTTGGAGAGACTGGAAAAGTGGGTGGGTATTTCTGGTACTGCCCTTGATTGGTGTAGGTCCTACCTGCAGGACAGAATGTATGTTGTAGAAATAGGAGACTGTGCTTCAGATCATATGGCACTGACATGTGGAGTGCCCCAAGGGTCAATCCTGGGGCCTCTCCTATTTAATATCTACATGCTGCCACTAGGCCAGCTAATCCACAGAAGCAATGTGTCCTATCACAATTATGCAGATGACACCCAATTATATGTTTCACTTACTGCAGGGGAATATGGACCAATACATTCCCTCTGCCAGTGCATTCAAACGATCAGTGAGTGGATGCAAAACAATTTCCTTCAACTTAACCCAGATAAAACTGAAGTTATTGTTTTTGGCCCACAAAAACAAAGAGAAAGTATTAACAGTTACATCCAGTCTCTCTCCTTAAAACCAACAAATGAAGTAAGAAATCTTGGGGTAGTAATGGACTCTGACCTTAAATTTGATAGGCACATAAAATCTATAACATCAGCAGCCTTCTATCATCTAAAAAATATTGCCAAAATTAAAAATATGTTGTCTAAATCAGATATGGAAAAACTTATCCATGCATTTGTCACTAGTAGATTAGACTACTGCAATGGCCTGCTCACAGGTCTGTCCAAACAGGCTGTAAAACAGCTGCAGTACATCCAAAATGCAGCAGCTCGAGTCCTGACTAGAACCAGGAAGTACGACCACATTAGTCCAGTCCTCAGGTCTCTGCACTGGCTTCCTGTGGCTCAGAGAATTGATTTTAAAGCAGCTCTGCTTGTGTACAAGTCTCTACATGGTCTTGCACCGAAGTACATTGGTGACATGTTGGTGCCGTATGAGCCAACTCGGACTCTGAGGAGCACAGGGACTGGACTCCTGATGGTGCCCAGAGTCCGGACTAGGCATGGAGAGGCTGCATTTCAGGTGTATGCCCCAAAAATCTGGAACAGCCTTCCTGAGGATGTACGGGAGGCCTCATCTTTAGTAAGTCTAAGCTGAAAACCGTTCTTTTTAGCTGTGTATATGACTGACTTTTATATATTGAGCTTTTTATACCGTTTTTAATTCTGAAATTCAGTTTGAAATGTTTATTTTTATGCAACAATTATTATTGTTTTTGTTATTATTTTATATTACGTTTTATGTGTTTTAAAATGTTTGTAAATGTGTATGATCTTGTGTTCTTGTGAAGCACTTTGGGCAGCACTGCATGAATTGTGCTTTATAAATAAACTTGATTGATTGATTGATTGATTGATCTTTATGTTTGAAATGTGGCGAAATGTTGAAAGGTTCAAGGGGGCCGGATACATTTGCAAGGCACTGTATTAACATTAAAAAACAAATTCAAGTAACACGGGAAGCACACATCCAAAAAGGCTCAATATGTTACTGAAATGTACAAACAAAGCAGATTCAGATTCAGATTCAGATTACTTTATTTACCATTGTGCAAAACACATAGGAATTTGACTTGGCAACATGACAGTGTGCATTCATCTGTATTCACATAGTGCAAGAGATATAAATAAAATAGATATTGTAATAAAGTGCCATAGTGTTCAGTCCTTGTTCCTAGGGGGCAAGGGAAGAAGGAAAACCAGCGTCAGTGAGCAGCCTGGCCGCTGAGGGGAAAAAACTGTTTTTGTAGCGCTCTGTCTTAGCCCCCAGATGCCGCATCCTCCTCCCAGAGGGGAGCAGGGTGAGGAGGTCGTGACCAGGGTGGGAGGGGTCAGCCATGATCTTTCTCGCCGCCCTCAGTGCCCTGGAGTCGTGCAGGGACTTGAGGGAGGACAGGGGATGGCCAATCACCCTCTCCGCGGAGCGTATCACCCGCTGCAGCTTGACCAGGTCTTTCGCAGCAGCAGCGGGGAACCTGGTGATGATGGAGTGAGTGAGGATAGACTCTATGATGGCCGAGTAAAACTGGGTCATCATGGCCCTCGACAGTCTGTATTTCCGCAGCTGACGAAGGAAGTACATCCTCTGCTGGGCTGTTCTCAGGAGGGCTGTGATATTGGATTCCCACTTCAGGTCCCTGGAGATAATTATCCCAGGGAACTTGCAGGACTGGACAGATTCCACCTGAGTGCCACCCAGCATGACAGGAGGAGGCGGAGTTGGGTCCCTCCTAAAGTCCACCACCATCTCCACTGTCTTCAGAGCATTCAGCTCCAAGTTGTTGTTGCTGCACTAGTTCCGCAGCCGCTCGATCTCCCTCCTGTAGGCCGACTCATCCCCCTTGGAGATGAGGCCCAAGGTGGTGTTGTCGGCAAACTTGAGGAGCTTGACCGACGGGTGGAGAGAGACACAGCTGTTGGTGTACCGGGGAAACAGCCCTGCGGGGTGCCGGTGTTGGTGATCCTAGAGCTGGAAATGCTCTTCCCCAGCTTCACCCGCAGTGATTGCCGTCTTAGGCATTTGACGAAAGGACAGCCTTTTTTACAGTGTATGTGTGTAATCGTGTAAGGAACAACAACACAGGAGCAGCAGACACTAGTGACAGATGTAAAACAGTTCTGTCCTAATTCTGTACCAAGCATGAAGACGTTAGAGTTGTTTGATGTGATAGCTCTGTCTCTGAATCTAACATTATAAGTGTTTTTTTCTGTGATGGATTTTAGGTTTGAGACGTGATCGTTCTCTCCACCGCAGACTGGTCTTCAATGTTCAGATTACAAGATAGATAGATAGATAGATACATTGATCCAGAAAGGACATTGTACATTGGTCCTTTGCTTGCAATCATACAATCATACAAACATAGGATAGAGTTAAAAAATAAAAACATAATTAAAAAAAGACAATAAAATACATTAAAATCATTAAAAGAGAGAAGTTAAGGCACTGCAAAACAATTCTCAAAACCTGTCCCTCCTCCTCCTCCCTCTCTCCTCCTCCCCCTGCTCCTCCCTGAAGTGGTTTTGTTATAAAGCCTGATGGCGTTCGGGACAAAAGAGTTTTTGAGTCTGTCCTTGGAGCACCTCAGAGAGACGAGTCTGGAGCTCATGGTGCTTCTCATTATTTTCATTATTAAAGACATTATTGCACATTCTGACATTATTAAAGATGTTATTGCACATTCTGACACTATTAAAGATATTATTGCACGTTCTGCCATTACTTAAGTTATTATTGCACATTCTGACATTATTAAAGATATAATTGCACATTCTGACATTATTAAAGTAGGGCTGTCAAACGATTAATTTTTTTTAGTTGATTAATCGCATAGTAATGGTGAGTTAACTCACGATTAATCGCATGTTTAACATTCTATTTCAAATCCACTCCAATTGAAGTTAAATGAGATTATCAAATATAATTACCAGTGTTGGGTAAGTTACTTTGAAAAAGTAATTAGTTATAGTTACTAGTTACTTCTTCCAAAAAGTAATTGACTAACTGAGTTACTCCACTATAAAAGTAACTAGTTAGCAGTAAAAATAACTATTGCGTTGCTTTTTCGTTTGTCGTGGTACCGAGCTTTAGCTGGCTGTAATTTAGGATAACTTCTAAGTAGATTAATTGTTGCAACAACCCCACCCTATTTTAGTATGATATGTTAGTTTAGGGAACTGTCCTGCAGGCAAACAGGTATAAGACAGGCCAAGGTGCCATTTAATTAAATTGATAATTTTTATCCATTGATCAAACAAACAGATTACAAAACTTGCAATTGAAAGAGACTATTTTAAAATAATTAGTTCCCAAAGACACACACGAGCAACACTCGCGCCTGACAGTCAAGAACCAGGGAGAATACAGTGCGCAGAGCGCTGAGTATGTGAACGGAGCAATCGCTTGCTGCTGTTATTATAATAGCTAGATCCATGCTTGCAGCCCGTGCAAAGCTTGCACTCACTCACAGCCGCTAACAACAACCAGAGCGGCCACGGAGGAGGCCATCTCACACGCAGCATTCTGAGTGACATTCTTATGGATAAATGGGCGGGTCATTCGGACATGCATTAATGCGTTTAAAAAAATAATAACGCGTTAATAAAAAATGTAATTAACGTGAGTTAACGCGATAATTTTGACAGCCCTATATTAAAGATATAATTGCACATTCTGACATTATCAAAGTTATTATTGCACATTCTGACGTTAGTTGACGGAGATGGAGCGAGTGTTTTCTGCTGCAGCTGTTTTTCCGCCTTTGGAATTGACGCGTTATCAGAGAATGTGTGAAAGAGCTCTCAGATGTCAGATGATCACAGACAACACTGGACTCATCGCTGCCAAGATCCACAGAACACACTGGGACCAGGCTCAGAGGGAAGTCCGGAGACTCCTGTGGTTTCAACTGTGAGCTGCTGAGCCTGAAGATGCAATATTCTTATTTAAACAAGAAATATTCTGTATCAGATTTTCAGTCAATAAGATCAGATTAGATAAAATAGGATCAGATAGACATTATTGATCTCACACTGGAGAAATGTACATGTCACATTTGGCACAGATAGAATCACTCAGATTGTTCAAAGACCGAAGTGTGCAACATGTTAAAGGTTAAAAATATAGTATGCGCAGAATATAATTAACTAAATAAATAATATGTATTTATATATAGCACCTTTCACAGACCAGAGTCACAAGCACTTCACAATTGTGGGCATTTGTCTCTCACTCCACACAGAGATGGGAGCGGGGTCAGTACAGGAGACACAGCCAGACCTATTGTACATGATTTTAGTGATAGGGGAAACTGGTGGAAACCTAAAGAGACACGGGGAGAACATGCAAACTCCATTCAGAAAGGCCCTGGTCTGACCGGGATTTGAATCCAGGACCTTCTTGCAGAGAAGTGAGAGTGCTATCCACTCAGCCACTGTGCCGCCTAAATATAATTATGAACAATAAAAAAAGAGTGGCAATAGCAGTGCAGGTTTTTTTCAGTCCTGCATTAGTGACTTATTGTACAGTCTGACAGCAGTGGGAATAAAGGCCCTGCGGTAAAGAGACTATTGACTTTCTCATGTCATGTTTTAGAGTGTGAACTAATATCTTCAATACTCAATGGAACAGGTAAGGGAATCAAATACTTTCCACCTGCAACTCCCTTGTCACGAGGTGGGAAGGAGGAGGACTCAAAATGCAAGAATGCCAAAATAAAGATTTAATAAAATAAAGTCCAAGGTAATAACAAAACTCAAAATCCAAAATACAGAACCAGGAGCACAAAATCAGGAACAGGACAGAACAGAAGTTGACAATACAATGGACCAGCAACAAGAGGAGAGGAGCACAGGGTACATATAGACAGAGACTGTGGTGACAGTTTTTGGAGTAATTACATAAAACCAGCCGCAGCTAATACACGGACGTCAAAGGCCTTTTATCAATGCAGAGACGACCTTCTGACGCCATGCTGAGCTTTGTGAGGGCCCCTGCTGTCTGTCACACCCTTGTGTCTTTCGTATCTTGCATCTGTATGCCTGCTTCTATCCATATGTCCCTGCTCCAGGAAGGAGCCGGGTCCCCCCCGACACCTACAGACAATGGCGATCACTCTTGCCCCCTTTCACCTCTTGCATATGTATCGGTCTGTATGTGTGCACTTTCTACATCCTGCAGTCTGTTTGCATCCCTATGCGCCTCCTGCACCGGTGGCCCCCTCCCATCTGTTGTGGGCGGGACTGTCTTTCGTGTGTGTCTTGTAAACAGGAAACTCGGAGCTCTGCGAGCCAGAGCTGAATGCACGCTGTTTCTGTGTAGTCAGCCCTCCGCACGTGCGTTACAATAAACTTACGCTCCTGATTTAAGACAAATACTTTTGGGCTTTCTCCTTGTTTTGGGGTATGCAATTCTACAACAAGACACAGGTGAAACACATCAGGGCGGGGCAGACAATCAACACAGAGGAAACAGGACGTCAAAGTCAAACTAAAACCAAAGCACAGAGAACAGATATCAAAATAAAACTAAAGTCCAAAATAACAAAATCCACACCATGACATCCCTCTGCTGCACCAGAGGCACTGCTCATGTATCTTGTGCTGTGTGCTTCTCATTCCTACTGTTCTATAACTTGTAATGCAACACTGAAATTTCCTCACTGTGTGACGGATAAAGGATCTCCTAATCTCAATCATAAATCCTCAGTCCAGGGACACCTAGTGACAGAACCCTGGATAAAATACCAAAAATTGTCAAATAGAAATAATTAATAACATTAATTAATAAATTTAAAACATCTATTATTCAATTTAAGTTTATTTTCAGTTAAACAATAATAAACACCAAAATCCAAACGGTTCAAATTTCCATAAAATAATAATATATAATATATATTTTTTAATGATATAATCTATCTATCTATCTCTGTGTTGTCAATGTGATAAAAAATGTAATTCCTCGAGCTATACTATCTTCAAAATGGTTTGATATTGGAAAAACATTTGAAAGAATCGGCTCAAACTTTATTTGTATGACACTAAAATATACCTGGGTTTTCAAGAAGACTTGGTTAAGAACAAATTGTACGCCTTTGTGTTTTAATATATGTCACTTAACTGGTCTCCCCTGGTATGGACTTGGGCTGCAACCAACCTCCCCACACAGCCTCAGTCCTCGTTCTACAGTCTGAGTCCTGGATCCACAGCCTGAGCCCTGGATCCTCAACCTCAGTCCTCTTTCTACACCCTGAGTCCTGGATCCATAGCCTCAGTCCTCGTTCTACAGTCTGAGTCCTGGATCTACAACCTGTCTGTTTGTGGGGGCGGATCCATTATTTTCGCCACACTTTTTTATTTTTTTATTTTTTTTAATAGCTCCTTGCAAATGCAGGATGGTACTAAAATGACTAATGTCTTTCTGATTTTGATTTTAATATCATCATATTTTGATCTCATTACATGTAAAATGTATTTGCAGAAGAGAAAAGTGTCGCTACTGTCTCTATGAACACATGAAGTGACGTGAGTCTGCTGCCACTTGCTGGACAGAGAAGGAAACAAAGAAACTCAACAAAATGTATAGATAGATGGATGGATGGATGGATATATAGATAGATATATAGATAGATCCAGAACCAGCAAAAATAAAAAATAAAATGGATCATTCTAAAAAGTTAAAAATAGTAAAAATCAGCAACAGGCCATCAGGTTACAGCAGCAGAGGTGGAGTAGCCTCTGGGTGGAGCAGGACAGGTCACAAGGTGGAGTAGCCGCTTGGTTCGGACCATTTTCTCAGCTCTAGTCCAAAGTAAAATGCTCAATGCTTCATTAGCATTTTTCAAAAAGTTAGCATTCCTCCAATGGATTTTCACCTGATCCACTTGAATCCTCTCTGCTCTGGTTTGGACCAGTGCAAAACCATGAACACTGTACTGCAGCAACATCTCAGGCAGAAAAAAAGCAAGAAAATAAAAAATCAAAAGCACAAAACAACAGCTGTTTCTGAGCTACTTAGGACTTGCAGCCGTTTTCCAGCGCATTCAAAAGTAAACGATGCAATTGCATGCCTAATACAGTGTTGGATTTAATAGTTAAGTTAAGCCACTTTATTCTCATAACTCTGTCATGTTGTTTTACATTCATAAAGTCAATTAGATATATCATTATCTAGTGTTAAATTTCTCCAGTGTGAGATCAATAAAGTCTATCTTATCTTATCAAGTGAAGTCAACATGACAGAGTTACTGTATGTGAATGAATGAATACAAATCAAACCTTACATTACAGGACTGGGGACTTACTCGTTTACATGTGCGACTTTAATTATTATGCTATTATTGTTTTAAAGTAGCTCAGTGGTCTTTGGGCCTGGAGGTCGTGGGTTCGAGCCCACCATGCGACCTACTCCAACTGCACCCATAAATGTCTACTGTCGTTGTGTCCTTGGGCAAGACACTTAACCCCACGTTGCCTGAAGCCCCCGCTGAAAGACCAAGGCTGTTTCACCGCTGATGGAGTAGCCATCTTCCCAGGGACCCCCCAAGCTCAGAGGATCAGAGGCACTGGTGCTTTGGTGCACCCCCACTCCCGACCCAGAAATGGACTAATAAAACGGTAAAACCTAAATATTCTGTGTGACCTACCTTTTTTGATGTTTTATGTACTGTATTTTTATTATTTTACCGTATTTTTTAAATTACATTTTAATCTGTAGCACTTCGAGGTTTCCTGGAAATGTAAGGTGCAATATTATATTATTATTATTAATATTATTGATTACAGTTATTGACACCAGAAAGACGTACTTATAGTTGTTGCCATTTCTGTAGCTAAAGGGGTACATTTTTAGTCTAAAATGTACCCCCCCCTTTGGGATCCTGTTGGTATGACATTACACAACAGCTGTCCTGATCACGCGACGCACGCATGACGCCACGCCGCTGTCATTAGTCACGTGTCCGGAGCAGATAAACAAAAACAAACCGACACAGAGAGGGTTGAAGTTTCAGCTCATTATTGCGTGGACGCGAGATGGCGCTGTTTGCCTGATCTCAGACTTTCTCTCAGTCACATTTACAATCCGTGAGGTTTTTATATTGTTTACTTGTTCTCGTTTTTTGAAAGTGCGTGGGACGTCAGCATTAAGGACAGGACAGGGCGAGACTGGAGAGGACGAGACTGGAGTGGGGTGAGACTGGACAGGGTGAGTCTGATTTCTGTCATCTTTCTCTTTTTGCTCATTTTCCCGATAGTTTTCTGCTCTAACGCAATGGTCTGTCTGTTTGACACGGACCAAAGACGTGTAACCATGGTGATGTGCGTCGTCAAGCAGAAACTGAGCGTAATGATAATAATATACATGCAACAAGATTCACGTGTTTTGAACATATAGGACTACAATATCTAAAGCACCGTGATGACAATGCATTGTGCCTTGTGAATGAACTGTGCTATACAAATAAACTTGCCTTGCCTTAAAATGAGGAGATTAAAGTGGTTTTACAAAGACTTTTTTACTTTAATCTCAGAATGTTGCTACTTTTTTCTCATATTGAGACTTTATTCTCGTAATTTTTCAACGTAATTCTCATATTAATTAACTTTTTCGTATTTTCTGTCTCCTTCGTATCTTTCTTGATGTTTAACAATCCATCAATCTTTATTCGTAAAAATAATTTGAAAATCACAATTGAATCACACAGGTAATTAAAAACATGAAAACAGTAAAATCACACAAGGGATAAGATCATAAATAATAAGTGCATCTGAAAAGTATTCACAGCGCTTAAATTTTTTCAAATTTTGTTATGTTACACGTTGAATTCCAAAAGGGATTCAATTCATTTTTTTCCCCTTAAAATTCTTCACATAAAACCCCATAATGACAACGTGAAAAAAAAAATCGGGGAGAGTTTTGCAAATGTATTACAACTAAAAAACAAATAAATCACATTTGCAATGAAGCTCAAAATTGACCTCAGGTGCATCCTGTTTCCACGGATCATCCTTGATGCTTCTGCTTCATTAGAGTCCCCCTGTGGAAAATTCAGTTGATTGGACTTGATTTGGAAACACACCTGTATATATAAGGTCCCACAGTTGACAGTGCATGTCAGAGCACAAACCAGGCATGAAGTCAAAGGAATTGTCTGTAGACCTCCGAAACAGGATTGTCTCGAGGCACAAGTCTGGGGAAGGGTAAAGAAAAATGTCTGCTGCTTTGAAGGTCCCGATGAGCACAGTGGCCTCCATCATCCGTAAATGGAAGAAGTTTGGAACCACCAGGACTCTTCCTAGAGCTGGCCGGCCATCTAAACTGAGCGATTGGGGGAGAAGGGCCACCAAGGCCTGGACTCCACCGGGCGCGTCTCCGTTGACGCGCGTTGGCTGCTGCCCGTCAGACGTCCGTAAAATGGAATAGTGGCCAAACCGGCTGCAGCAGCGCGCAGCTCTGGCTGTGCGTTTATCAGCACCCGTGAGGCTTTGTTTTAAATAGAAGAAGCGGTGTGTGATTTGCATGAGCTGTGGCTTTGATCTATGCAAAGCACGGCATATTGAAGCATGAGGAAAAACTTAAGCAATTGGTAAAAGGGGAGAGAGAAAAGAGAAAAGAGCTCCAACATATCCAGTGTAGTTGTGAGATCTGTCTCTCATAAGTGCAGTAGCTCTGTGTGTGTGTGTGTGCGCCCGGTGGAAAACCCGATAGTCACTTTGTCAGAGCTCCAGCGTTCCTCTGTGGAGAGAGGAGAACCTTCCAGAAGGACAACCATCTCTGCAGCAATCCACAAATCAGGCCTGTATGGTAGAGTGGCCAGACGGAAGCCGCTCCCGTTTGGAGTTTGGCAAAAGGCACCTAAAGGACTCTCAGACCATGAGTAAAAAAATTCTCTGGTCTGATGAGACAAAGATTGAACTCTTTGGCGAGAATGCCAGGCGTCATGTTTGGAGGAAACCAGGCCAATACCATCCCTACAGTGAAGCATGGTGGTGGTAGCATCATGTTGGGATGTTTTTCAGCAGCAGAAACTGGGAGACGAGTCAAGATAGAGGGAAAGATGAATGCAGAAATGTAGAGACATCCTGGAGGAAAACCTGCTCCAGAGCGCTCTTGACCTCAGACTGGGGCGACGTTTCATCTTTCAGCAGGACAACTACCCTAAGCACACAGCCAAGATAACAAAGGACAACTCTGTGAATGTCCTTGAGTGACTCAGCCAGAGCCCAGACTTGAATCCAAGTGAACATCTCTGGATAGATCTGAAAATTGCTGTGCACCGACACTCCCCATCCAACCTGATGGAGCTTTAGAGGTGCTGCAAAGAGGATTGGGCAAAACTGCCCAAAGACAGGTGTGCCAAGCTTGTGGCATCATATTCAAAAAGACTTGAGGCTGTAATTGCTGCCAAAGGTGCATCAACAAAGTATTCAGCAAAGGCTGTGAATACTTATGTACCTGTGGTTTCTTAGTTTTTTTAAATTTAATAAATAAAGTGTTGTGTGTAGAATTGTGAGGAAAAAAATTAATTGAATCGTTTTTGGAATTAGGCTCTAACAAAACAAAATGTGGAAAAAGTAAAGCGCTTTGAATTCTTTTTGGATGCACTGTATTTCAGATTATAGTGGCTACAAGTTTGATTGAATTCTATAACATCCACTTATTCTTTGTCTCCACAGATGAATGTTTCCACTAAGGACCATGGGGCTCTTCACATGAAAGAAAACAGAACGTCTGCTAAAACCACGGGCCCCCAGTGTCAGAAGAGCCGAGAGAGGACTGTGCTGGGGGTCCTGAACCAGAACGAGCTGCATGTAACCATTCAAACACACTTTTTATATGTGACCTTGTTGTAAGTTTTAGCACAGTTAGAAGGACTGTGTATGTATATCAATCTTGGAGAGACTCGAACCCATATAAATGACACAAGGACAATATTTTCAACATTACATTTATTGCTGCTGTACAGAAATGTGGTTAGGATTTGGCGCTTAGACCCCAGCAGAGCACATTTGCAGAAGGGGAAAGATTATGAGATGTGGTGGTAGCGAGAAGAATGATTGAAAAAAAAATGGTCCAGAATGAGGCGGAGATGGGGAGGAGGAGGGTTGCAGCGTGAATCAAGATGCTGCCTGGATGGAGCTCCTTTGCGATATGAAGCTTGATGTGGGCAGTGCCTGATGCTGCCAGGTGAGGGCAGTGTGGTGCTGTAGCTGAGTGTGATTGACAGATGCAGTTGCCGTTAGCAACAGTGGGAGTACTTTGAGCGCTGTGAGTTTAGTTCTTTAGCTTCATGAGCGGTGCATCTGGTACGTCCAACACCGTCTGTGATGCCCAAATAAACCAGCTGTCAGAGCTGCTGATCAGAGCGGAGCTAGCACGAGAGTTAGAGCAAGAGTTAAAGTGGGAGCCAGACGAGCAGAGTTTGTGGCAGTAAAGTGTGGATTTAAAGAAAACCGAAGGATTTAAGAAGAAAAAAGTTCAGGATGACAAGAGACACTAAAATCCCCACAAAATTCGACCTTTATGAAAGCTGTAAGTTCTCTGTCAGGTTCTCTGTTGGCTGGGGTCTAGCTGTTTTAGTTTACATTGAGTTCTATGGGGAAAATTTCTGGGTAGCCCACGTGAATTTAGTCTGGTTTAGTCTGCAGTACCGCGAGAATCCCCCGAGCACATAGGTTCTTCAGCTCCAAGCTAAAAATACCCTGTCCAGTTATTATAATAGATCCATGGTGTCTCCACAGAGCAGCCAGTTCTCCAGACTCAGCTCCTTAAGTGACAGTTCCCAGAGGGTCTTCTTGGGCTGCAGCTCCAGCTCCGGGTATGACGTGTTTGTGGAGGAGGCCTGCGAGGTGGTCCTGGCCGCCTCGGGGCAGGAGGTGGTGTCCGACGGCTGTTACCATGACGACCAGACGGAAGCGCTGAAACACGAAGACGCACGGCTTTTACTGGAGCTGACCTCAAGTAAAACTGTCTTTGCTGTCATGGCGGGGGGAGAGAGAAGCACAGGTACATATAGACACATACAGACACAGGTGAAACACATGTTGCTGCTCATGAAGGGCGGGGCAGACAATCAAGACAGAGGAACAAGACAGTAAGTAAAACAAAACATGAAACCACAGAGAACTAAAGTCAAAATAAAAACTCACCGTACGCTAAAAAAAGCGAAGATACGGTTTGATTCTCTGATCTGTTGTCGTTGCTGTTGTGATTTAGGACAATACAAAAATACATTTAATTCAATAGACTTTTCAGTTGCTATTTAAACTTTCAAAGGCTCTGAAATCAAAAGAATCAAAAGAACCAATGCAAAAGAACCAATGCAAACATGTGTGTGTGTAAAGTCCTGATGAGGCGCTGTTGCTGCAGGCTCGTGTCTGGATGTGTCCATGCAGTCGGAACACAACCAGTCTCTGACGTCTGGAGCTCAGAGTCTGTGGGAGTATTCTGAGGAAATCTACTGCCACCTGAGGCAGAACGAGGTCAGTCTGCGTTATTTAGCCCAACATTTAGCACAACATTTATCTGGATTTCAACAAATGCTGTCAAACCATTCAAATATTTAACCACATTAATGTCTTAGTTAACTCGGAACGATCACAATGAATCACATAATTGTCCCTGGTCTAAATGTCCCTTGATTTGGTTTGGTAAATCCAGGACTGAGGCTATAGACCCAGGACTGAGGTTGTAGATCCAGGATTCAGGCTGTAGACCCAGGACTGAGGCTGTAAATCCAGGACTGAGGCTGTGGATCCAGGACTGAGGCTGTAGATCCAGGACTGAAGCTGTAGATCCAGGACTGAGGCTGTAGATCCAGGACTGAGGCTGTAGACCCAGGACTGGGGCTGTAGATCCAGGATTCAGGCTGTAGACCCAGGACTGAGGTTGTAGATCCAGGACTGAAGCTGTAGATCAAGGACTGAGACTGTAGATCCAGGACTGAGGTTGTAGATCCAGGACTGAAGCTGTAGATCCAGGACTGAGACTGTAGATCCAGGACTGAGACTGTAGATCCAGGACTGAGACTGTAGACCCAGAACTGAGGCTGTAGATCCAGGACTTAGGCTGTAGACCCAGGACTGAGGCTGTAGATCCAGGACTGAGGCTGTAGACCCAGAACTGAGGCTGTAGATCCAGGTCTGTAGATCCTCTGGTCCCTCAGGTGCAGCTGCGTCCTCGGTGTGGGTACTTGGACAAACACCCGGAGCTCTCTGGTGCGATGCGTCAGGTCTTGGTGGATTGGCTCGTGGAGGTGGCGCTCGAGTACGGACTCCTCTCTGAGACCCTGTTCCTCGCCGTGAACTACCTGGACCGCTTCCTGTCCGAGACGGCGTTTGTGAAAAGGGGGAAGCTGCAGCTGGTCGGCATGGCAGCGCTGATGGTCGCCGCGTAAGTACAAAATGAACAACAACACCACAACATGACTACATAGTACAGAGTGCCAGAGGAACAGCGGATGGAGACCAGCACCGGGCGGATGAATTTAACCAGTACTTCAACCGGTTTGATTCTCCCCCCTCTCCATCTGCCCCCCCCTCCCGCCCCCACCTCTTCACACGTCCCCAGCCCAGTGGACACCGCCCAGTGGACACTGCCTCCGGCTGCCCCGGGCCCTCCTGCCCCCGCATCCCCAGCCCCCACCTCGGACAATACACCCCAGTCCCCCCCCCCTCTCCATCACACCGGACCAGGTGAGGAGTCAGCTCCAGCGCCTGAATTTGCTGAGGAAATCCGCAGGACCGGGTGGGATCAGTCCCAGGCTGCTGAGGACCTGTGCAGACCAGCTCTCTGGGGTCCTCAGCTACATGTACAACCTGAGCCTCAGCCTGGAGAAGGTCCCTGTCCTGTGGAAGACCTCCTGTGTGATCCCGGTCCCAAAAACAGCACACGCCAAGGAACCGGCTCACTACAGACCAGTCGCACTGACCTCCCACCTGATGAAGACCATGGAGCGGCTCATCCTCACCCATCTCCGCTCCGTGGTCAGCCCCACCCTGGACCCGCTGCAGTTCGCCTACAGACCCAACATCGGAGTAGAGGACGCCGTCATCTACTTCCTGCAGCGGACGCTCTCCCACCTGGAGCCCGCCGGGAGCGCTGTCAGGGTCATGTTTTTCGACTTCTCCAGCGCTTTCAATACCATCAGGCCGGCACTGCTGCAGGGGAAGATGGAGGACGCGGGAGTGGACCTCACTGCATGGACCATCAACTATCTCTCAGACCGACCACAGTACGTGCGGCTGCGCAGCTGTGAGTCTGAGGTGGTCGTCTGCAGCACTGGGGCCCCTCAGGGCACTGTTCTCTCACCGTTTCTCTTCACCATCTACACCTCAGACTTCACACACGACACACACAGCTGTCACCTGCAGAAGTTCTCCGACGACTCCGCCATCGTGGGCTGTGTGTCTGAGGGGAACGAACTGGAATATCGGTCGGTTATCACAGACTTTGTCGACTGGTGTGAGCGCAACCACTTGTGCTTGAACACCAGTAAGACCAAGGAGATGATCATCGACTTCAGGAGAAAACCACTTTCCCACACGCTGCTGAACATCCAGGGGGAGGACATTGAGCTGGTGGACAGCTTCAAGTACCTGGGTGTTCACATTAACAATAAACTGGACTGGTCCCATAATACAAACGCCCTGCACAAGAAGGGCCAAAGTCGCCTTTTCCTTCTGAGGAGGCTGAGGTCCTTTGGAGTGAGCAGGCCTCTGCTCAGGACTTTTTATGACTCTGTGGTAGCTTCTGCCATTTACTACGCTGCCGTGTGTTGGGCCCCGGGCAGCACAGAGCGGGACAGAAACAGACTGAACAAGCTGGTCAGGAGGGCCAGCTCCACTCTGGGCTGCTCCCTGGACTCTGTGGAGGAGGTGAGGGACAGGAGGGTGCTAGCCAAAGCCACCTCCATCATGAACAATACCTCCCACCCACTGCACAGGACTGTAGAGGAGCTGAGGAGCTCCTTCAGTGGAAGACTGAGGCACCCTCAGTGTATTTTAGGAAGGAGCGCTACCGCAGGGCCTTTATCCCCACAGCTGTCAGGCTGTACAATAAGTCACTTTAAATGATCACTGTGTGAAAACCTGCACTACTATTGACACTGTTTCCAACTGACACTTGTCACTTTTGTTGCACATAATTATTGTCACTTTATTGTACATATGTCCTGCATGTAACATGTTTGCACATTTCCTCCTTTTACACAATCTGAGTGTCTCTATCCATGCCAAATGTGACATGTAAATTTCTCCTATGTGAGATAAATAAAGCAAATCTTATCTTAATCTTATCTTATCATGACAACACATAAACATAACATTACAACACAAGAACAACATAACAACCCAACACAACAACAACAACACAAGAACAGCAACAAACTACACAAACAACATCACAACACAACAGCAAACTACACAAACAGTGTAGTAGTTTTTTTAACCCTTTTTTCTGTGATACCAACTTTATTCTATTATTGATTTCATAGACAAAACATTTGAAGAACAGAAGGAGCTGAGATGTTGAGTTTATTGCTAGCATCAGTGGCTAGATTTGTTTTAACCTCACGTGACCGTGTGGCACTATAGCATGAAAAGCTACCTGGATGCTAGAGAGTTAGCTATTTTTAGACATTTGTAGAGAGGTTTTACTACATCAAATGGTTTGTTCTTGTTGTGCGGTCGGTTGTACGGCCCGCTGGGGTCAGATTAAGTTTTTCTTCTTATTCTTTCGGAAAAGAACAGCAAAAAACGGTCGTGGTAAAGTGGTTGCTCTTTCATGCTGTTACATACGGTAAACGTAGAGCGGGAAGCCGGGGGGATAAGGGGATAAAAATTCATAAACAAATCTTAAGTTTTGCAACTACTTTCACTGCGCACTTGTTCACTCACTCATTCATTAATTCATTAATTCATTAATTCATTCATGAATGAATGAATGAATGAATGAATGATGATTAATTTTAAACATTGCATTTTGGTTGCTCATCCCCGCGGCTTCCTGTTCCACGTTTATACAACAGCAAACAGGGGCATCCCGCTTTTAGTGTGCTTTACCGCGACGGCGAAATGCCGGGCCACTTTACCGCGGTGAAAAACGCGAGAAATGGATTTTCACCACGGACCCTTCTTGAGTGAAGGGTCCCGGGTTTTCAATGAAGTAAGAATAGATGTCTCCGAGTCCCAGTCCCAGCAGAACGGTGCCAAAAGAGAGGTGACTCCGACCAATGTTTCTTCTCGTCATCCCAGGCATATGGGCTTTGAATGTGTTCAGTTCGGTCTCACGGTTAAAGTGCTTATATACAGTGCTATTCGCCCACTGAGTCTTTTAAAAGTAGTCGTCGCATCCATGGTTCAGTATGGGCCGCTCTGTCTTCTTGCCACCCAGCGAGGGGCGCATGCGCACGCGGGTGTAAACAAAGATCCTCCTATAGTCGACGAGAGAAAGTGGCAACAGATGACGTGTCTCATGGCGAGTCTCGAGTGTAAGAAAATATCATTTACTGAAAACATAAGTCAAATTAGCGCATTATCACATCGAAGTAATTTAAAATAGACAAAACCAGTCAAACGTCTCAGTGGTCTCTAACTTTGCAATCTGCATATTATCAAAACGTCACTTTCCTCCATCGATAAAAAGTTTTTCATGTTTTACTTTGAAGCAAATACGAGGAGATCCACCCTCCGGAGCTCAACGAGTTTGTGTACATCACAGACAGCACGTACACTCGCCGACAGCTCATCCGCATGGAACACGTGCTTCTCAAGGTTCTGGCTTTCAAGATGGCCGCCGCCACCGCAAAACAGTTTCTCCGACAGTTCCTGGTCGTGAATCCGGCCCCGGTCCCCACCGAGAACCTGGCAATGGTGAGGGACGGTGTGGCTGGTGTTTTGTCAGATTTCAGATTTTGTTCTTATGCTATTGTTGTGTTTTGTGATCGTTCATGTGTTTTTAGTATTTGTGTGAACTGAGTCTGTTGGAGATGGACCCCTTCCTACAGCACAAACCGTCTATAATCGCGGCTTCAGCTTTTTGTTTGGCTAATTACACTGTGTCCGGGTCGCTGTGGGTGAGTTTCACTGAGGATACTGCCTTAGAAGCTTAGAAGTTCTTAGAAATTAAGAGAAAGAGTGTAAATAAGCTTGTACTGCTTAAATACCTGACATGCTTGGGCTACTCTACTCCTACTCTACTCTACTCCTGCTCTCCTCTACTCCACTCTACTCCTACTCTACTACTCTATACTCTACTCCTACTCTACTCTACTCCTACCCTACTCTACTCTACTCTACTCTACTCTACTCTACTCTACTCTACTCTACTCTACTCAACTCCTACTCTACCTGGTTGTGTTTCCATTTCGCTTTAGTATCTGGTACCGTATCCTAGCAATCTACCCTCAACAAGCAAGTATCCGTGGAACTTCCTTGGTAACCATGGCTTCCAGCAGCACTCTGGCCAATCACTGTCAGTTAGAACACTTTAGAACCAGGAAGGACTGGATAGAACCAGGACCAAGAGGATATCAGTTATCGGTATCGGCCGGTGGAGTAGAGAAGAGTAGGGTAGGACCAAGTAGGGCTGGTGGAAACATGGCTAAGATTTGTCTCAGATATTTTTACAACTATTGGGTAAATTGGATGAGATTTGGCTCTTGTTTACTTTATATTTGCCATGGTAACCATCTCTCTCTCTAAGAAATATCTGCAACCAACAAGCTTACCCTTTCCCATGGGGGTTGGGGTTAGGGTACACTAATTAGCACCACTAATTATAACTCCTTTGAGCGACAGTGCTTGCACAGCGCTGCCTAATCATCCACGTATCACAGATTCACTAATGATTAGCTGTTAATTAGTGACAGCCAAACTAAAGTGTTACCAAACTGTTTACATTGCATTATGGGACTGTTAGTTACTGAGAATCCTCTATATACCTTTAAACGGAACTGTTCCAGCTCCATGGTGATGGTCATACGGTCATAAATCAAACATGTTTTCTCCTCCAGCCGAGTGCCCTGAGAGCGTTCACCAGTTACACTGTGGCTGAATTAGAAGAATGCCTCATGGACCTCCATAAACTGTACGTGAAGGCAGAGACCCTCCCTCACCAGGCCATACGGGACAAGTACAGGAGCTCCAGGTAAGAAGAAGTTCCTCCCACAATGGGGAAATTTCAGTTTGATGGATACACATACACATACACATATACATATACGCATCAAGGCAAGCAGCGTACATCACCTCCGAGCTCCTTATAGGCAAAGTGGGTTAAGTGTTTTGCCCAAGGACACAACGACAGCAGAAATCAGTGGAGTCGGTGGAGAGGGTCTTGTGGTGGGCTCGAACCCACAACCTTCGGGCTTAAAGGCCAAGCCAACTCGTAAAGGACAAACATACACGGTACAAGACATACAAGAATAAATAGAATACAGACAGGGACAATGACATTTTTTTTGTGTAGATGTGTGTGTGCGTGCATGTGCCTGAGTCTGCGTGTGCATGCGTACAGTATGTTTGAGTGCATATGCATCGCTTACATAATTTTACAAAAAAAATATATAAAATAATAATTGTAATAATAATAACACTAATATCAACACCACCACCAAACCAAAAAGACACCTGCTCCTGACGACTCCATACAGTAATTTAATTCCTTACTTGTGTGTTTATGTTTGTGTGCTTTTTTTTGTGTGTGTGTGTGAGTTTATGCTTGTGCGCTTATGTTTGTGTGTTTATGTTTGTGTGCTTATGTTTGTGTGCTTATGTTTGTGTGCTTATGTTTGTGTGTTTATGTCTGTGTGTTTCAGGTACAGCCGTGTGTCACTTCTCACCGCTCCTGCTAAACTGCCTCTTCACTGACGCACACTCGGGATAATGACAGAGAGAGACACACACACACACTGGACACACCCACACACGCACTGGACACACCCACACGCACACACACACACTGGACACACCCACAAATATGTCGTATGCAGGGGACAGGCCTCGTGGCGAGTTTGACAAAGAGTTTGACAAATCTATGGACTTCGAAGAGACATGAAGAGAAAGAATCAACAGCTTATAATGGGATAATAAAGTTTGACGTTTTACAGTCGTTGTAGAAATCTGACTCGTAAAGATTTGTTATGAATGAAGATTTTATGTGGAAAAACAGCCACCTCCATTTGGTTAATGTGTCCAAAACCTCTATTCCTCAAGCTACTTTTACTACCATAAAAACTCCAATGTGTTTTGTTTTTCCAGTAGATTTGAGTGGTTCCTTCGCCGATGACATTTATGGACATTTTTGGACATTTAAGGACATTTATTCACATTTCTGGACAGTGGTCATCCCTCTCCCTCTGGACCAATGGCTCCTGTATGTCTTTGTTATCATTGCATTTCCTGTGTTCAAACTGATTCTCTGATCTGTTATTGACAAATTGGCAACATTGTAAAGTCCTCCGAGACCACTGCTGTTGTGATTTAAGGCTGTTCAAAAACACACTGAATTGAAAGAACTTGCTCTAGTGAGGGTGAATTGTAAAACTTTCAGATGTTTTTTCTAATCTCATCCATCTGTTTTAACCCTTGAATCATTTTGAGTAAATTTGGCGAGATTTGGCTCATGTTTACTTTATATTTGTAACTATCTCTCTGAGGCATATCCACCGTGCGGAGGTAATTGGAAAAAACTAGGCCCTAACTGTTGTTGTTGTCTTTGATTTCAATTATCAATTATTCATTGTGCAATACAATACACAATGTCAGACTCAATGTGCAATATAGAACTATGTGTGTTATATATTACTTGCACTCAAGATAAGATAGACTGATCTCACACTGGAGAGGGTGCGTGTCACATTTGGCACAGATAGAATCACTCAGATTGTGCAAAAGACAGAAGTGTGCGACATGTTAAACGTTAAAAATATAGTCTGTGCAGGATATAATTGTGTACAATAAAAACATTAAAATAATGCATGATTTGTGCTTCTTTCTTATGCCAAAGTCAGAGATTGTGTATTTAATTCTTGCTTCTTCATTCTGATAAAGTTGGAGATTTTAGACTTGCTTTGTTATTATGCTAAAGCTAGACATTTTATTTTAGTATAGAGTCATTGATCTTGTGCTGAGTGCTCCTCGTTCCTACTGTTCTGTAACTTGTGATGCAACACTGACATTTCTCCGCTGTGGGACCAGTACATTATCTCTTCATCTTAATCTTAAAATAGAAAAACATGTGTTTACTTAAATACAATAACAAAAGCGGTTGGAAGAAGTTAAACTTATGGGTTTTCAGAGTTGTTCCTCACTGATGCAGGAGGGTCTGAGACCTTCAGGGCGGAAGCACGGTACTTATTTTCCGATAATGACCTGCGTAATATACGTTATCCCTTACTTATATGTTTTTCCATTGTTTACATTTTCTATTGTTTACTCAAAACTCACCTGTTTCAGCTTGTCCTCATATTGTTCTTCAAATGTTTATTTTTATGTGTTTTGTAAAGCATCTATGAGTGTCCAAAAAGCACTTTATCAGATTGATGTAGGATTATTATTATTATTATTTTTAGTTGTATGTTTTTCCATTGATTACATTTTATATTTTCCTTGTAATGAAACAGTGTCCATTGTTGTCAGAGCAAAAGGAGGAAGAAGGCGTGTGACATATTTAGCCTCTGGTTAAACCTGTTTCCAGTCTGACAGTAGCCGCCGGCGTTACACATTACTCAGATGTTTCCAACACTGACTCATAAAGATCATTTATGTTCACATCAGAAAAAACCTCCGAACACACAGTCTCTCTCTGACCTGGACCAGGAGCAACGCACCTCGGGCACCGGTCAGTCTCTCTCATCAGTCCCTTTACTTATGTCGTCTTTAGTCCAGTCTTTGCTGATATGTCCGTGTTTTTCAACCAGTGGGCCGTGGAATGTTAGTGTGCCTCGAGGTGTTATTCTGCGTGCCTTGGGAAATGATCCAATATCACCTACTTGGTCAAAATAATGTGGAAAAAAAAAAAGAATTACAAGATTAGAAATACCTTTTTGTACTTGTCTGATTTTCTATAGAATACACTTGAATGACAATTACATTATTTTGTTAATAAAGGCTGCAGAGTCACATCAGTTCTGGCGGGTGATTGTTTTAGGTGCGCCACGGCTCAGAGAGGTTGGGGAACACTGCACTTTCTGTTTCTGTAGCTCATAAAGTACTAATTAAATGGTAAAAAGTTGAAAATGTTAAAAGTGAAAAAACCCATTGAGTATCTGTGTATGTACTTACGCAGTCACTGTCTCTTATTCATTCATTCATTTGTTTTTTATTCTTCTATCTTTTTTTTAACATTCTTCTTCCGTCAGATTTCAGGACTTTTACAATTTTGTACTTTTTGTTTGGTTTTATCGTCTCATAAGGAACACTTTTTTTGTTCTTGTTTCAGCCTTAGTTCAATTTATACTTTTTTGTTTTGATTTGTACATTTGGAATCTCAATATTTCTCAAAAAACACTTTCAAAATATTCAAATTTGTATTAGTTTTATTTTCTTATAATTGATTATTTTATCAATACTTTCTTTTATCAAGACTTTAATCAATTTTTTCTCATGTAGTTGTAATTCAGTTGATTTGATTGTGAATAATCTTTCTGCCTGTGTTGATCCATGTCCAACTGCATCGTCCGTGAGTCCATTTTGACCTGTCGCACTCTTCTTCTTCCCATTCATCCAGACCCTGGGAGCAGCAGGATGAGCGCCCCAGCAGAAGTCCTCCTCATCAGGGACCAGTACGAGTCCGCCTTCCACGCCCTGAACCGGGGCCTCTCCTCTGAAGAGGCTGGTCTCAAACCGGACGCTTTAAAATACTACCGAAAAGCTCTCCAACACCTCACCCAAGGCCTCCAGGTCCCCACCGCAGGAGAGAGGTTCCAGGCCCCGGTTTGGGACACGGCCCGGAGGCTCCAACAGAAAATGCGAGAAACTTTACAAACAGTCACCAATCGTTTGTTCGAGCTGGAGACGTCACAAGAAGTGGTTGGAGATCAGCGGAAAAGACTTCTTGGGAATTTACCACAAAACTGTTACCCAGATCTAGACCAAAGCAGACCTCCAAACACATCTATGTTTCGTCTGTACCCTTCTGTACCAGCCTCCAACCAGGGGACCTCCCCCAGCCCCCTTCCCAGGCCTGCCATTGTCCCTTACCCCTCTGCTGGTACGGCTTCGGGTCCAGCCATGGCTCATCCGGCAGAGCAGCCTCCAGCCTACAGTGAGAGGCCCACGGTTCAGCACAGTCTGTACTATGACTCCAATAACAAGCTGGTGGCGGTGGCGACCAACGAGAGTGAGCTGGTCCACATCCCGGCGGGGGTGCAGATGTTTTTTGTGGCCCCCAGTGGTCAGGTGAGCTCGCTGTTCTCACCTGGATTTCTGCGCATTGTCAGCATGGATCCCAACGAGAAGAATCCAGGATCAAGACCGACTGTGTTTTTGCACGTAAGTGACAGTCATCGTTCAATTCAATTTAATGTTTTGTTATTATTATCAATCACAATTAAGGACACAATATAAGAGCCCTAAATCACAAAAGCAGTCTTCTCCTCGGGGAACGCAGTGCAATACGTTAATAGGAGCCAGTGGGTTATACTGTATATAGATGGACAAGGTCCTCAAAATTCATTCCCGTAGGCCAAATCCGGCCCACGAGACCCTTTGTAGCGGACCCTGAAATAGTTTTTGATTATTTTTGCAGCATTGATGTCAAGGGGTTACTATGGAATGTTACTTCATTTTAAAGCCTATTGTCTCAGGAAAACAATCATTAGAATCAGATTTATGTGTATTACCATTGTGAGTAACAGTTAGTCACAAACTAGGGAATTGCTTTGGCTTACTAAAAAAATATAAGAGACAGCAGATTAACAGGCAAAGAAGGTGGAGGCTGGAGTATCTCCTAACTCATAAAACATAAATTTAAATTGTATTAAATAATGTTGGTGTTGATGATCTTTTTAATTGACTTTATGTTTATCTTTTTATTTTATTTTTATTTTATTTTATTTTCCTAGCACGCACGCTCGCACACACACATACACACACATATCTCCCTCCCTCCCCATATGGTATTGTTTCATGTTCTCTCAATATCTGTGCTTCTTTGTATGTCCCCATGTTTTGTCGCTGCTTCAATGTTTATTGCGCACACACACACACACACACACACACCATTATGTAATGTTTCATGTTGTCTCTCTATCTCTTTGTATGTCCCCATGTTTTGTCGCTGCTTCAACATTCTTTTTGCCGTCGTACCAATCATTTTCACTTTTGTATGTCTATGTATCACTTTTATGTATGTCTATGTATCACTTAATAAAAAAAAAAAATATATATATAATGTATAAATAGAATAAATCTTAAAATGACTAATAAAATGACTATAAGTGAAATTACCATAACCATATATCTGAAATTTTAACAAAATAGTCATAGTGACAGTTTCAGATTTGTTAAATATCTCTTTCTTTATAAATATCCGCTGTGCCTTGATACTTGTGGGGAACATATATTTCCTCTGATGCTGCGTCTAAATATTTGGGCCCTGATTGTTGTTCTCTTCTTTTCACCGTCACAAAGATCACATTGTGAAGCTCTGTCTGCGGCGAACACATGACTCTGTTTCACCACGTGCCTGTTCTGAGGGTTTTGTTTTGGTCTCGGACAAAGGTCTCAGTTACAGATGACTCCACACTTCTGTTGTGGACCTGCTCTGATTGACTGTAGCAGCAGGCAGCAGGACATATTTTTAGTTCCCTTTACTTTCACTCAATATTGGGCTTGAATGTATTTATGATGATTTTGATAACTCATGGTTTACTCATGTTAACTAATGGAGCTGCAAAGTCTGGTCTATTTTGTTCTCAAACCGGGTTGCGGCTGAATGGTTATAACTCGCTTCTCAACAAAAAGGTCCTGGGTTTGAGTCCCGGTTGTAACAGGGACTATCTGAGTGGAGTGGAGTTTGCATGTTCTCCCTGTGTCTGCATAGGTTTCCTCCAGGTGTTCTGGTGACGCGCTCGTCAAAAACATGGACAATAATTGAATCCTCCTGCTCTAGTCCTGACTAAGAGCATCAACATCTGGAGATAGAGGCCCTGTACCATCAATCAATCAAGCTGTAATTTATCGTTGCTGTTTTATTCCCTTGTCTATACAGCACTTTACAAATCTGTAAGGCACATTTAAAACAACTTGGACTACCCAAAGTGTTGTACAAACAAGGAAATAAAACAGCAACGATAAAAACACAAAAAACAGAAATGTATATCAGAATCAGAATCAGAATCATTTTTATTGCCACGTAAGTAACAAACAAAAGTTACCACTTAGAAACTGTTTTGGCAGAGAGCGTGCCACTTTGCCATTTGTGGCGCTGTGTATATATAAAAAAAAAAAAAAAACTTGCATCCTGGTATTAAAAGCCAAAGAGGAAAACTGCGTCTTAAGCAAGGATTTAAGTTACTGGTAGTCACTGTATTCGGCGACTACCAGGTTCATAAGAGATCGGAAGAGACCAGGAGCAGCCGGTAAGTATAGAAATCCACAAAACACAGACACGACAAGTTTATCTGTACAGCACAGTTCATACACAAGGCAACTCAAAGTGCTTTGACAAAACAAGTAAGTAAGTCACAAAGCTGTTTACAATTGTGGGCATTTGTCTCTCAAACCACACAGAGATGGAGCAGGTCGTGCATGCCAGACCTATTGTACATGTTTTTAGTGGTAGGGGAAACCGGAGCACCTGGAGGAAACCTACATAGACACGGGGAGAACATGCAAACTCCACTCAGAAAGGCCCTCTTAAGACCGGGATTCGAACCCAGGGCCTTCTTGCTGAGAAGTGACAGTGCTAACCACTCAGCCCCTGTGCCGCCCAACAAGACAAAAACAAGACAAAACAAGCTTTATAATGACCTTATATATGTGTATATTATCTGCAGGTGTGTGAATGGCTGTACCCGCTGGCCCCCAACACTCCGGTGCTGTTGGCGAAGTCTGGGATCTACATGTTCCCGGACACGCTCACCACTGTCGCTGGGACCTTCGTGGGGATCGTCCTGTCCTCGGATCTGCCCCTCGCCGACCGAGAGCGGTTCCAGGACGTCCTGAAGCAGCTGGTGGACTTCAGGGTTCAGGTCAGAGTCAGTAGTGGTAGCAGTAAATCAAAGAGAATATCAACTGTTACTTTTGTTTTTAAAGTAATAATATGTAGAATTTTCATGGCAAGTCATCATTAAAGGCCCTAATCTGTCAAGAGGCATTAATAAAACATGTTCTTTTCCAATTCTTCTTTAACTGATCACAGTAGTTCAGAAATATTTGAATTTCAAAATTAGTTTTCCAGCCCCTACATCTTGTTATTGTTTTCATTTCGATGTCCCGCCCTCCACCGTTTCACCAATCAGAAAGTCCGGGGTGCCAGAACTCACCGCGTCAAGCTAATCTCACTGGTAAAGTACCATGTGGCCACAGAACAAAAATTCTCAAATCATTAACAACAAAACAAGGAATAAAACCAGGACTTCTATCTTTGTGAAAAAGGTGTTGGTTATAGATTTGTTGTTGACAAAACTCTTTATTCAGATATTATGGTCCCAGCTTGATCCGTCTGCATATCTGGCAACCTGAGTCAGGGAGAGGCTGCAATACCACTTTTGGCCACAGTTTACATACTGCTCCTTTAAAGGAGACGTACTATGGCTAATCGACTTGAGCTTTGGACCATGTTACAAGATTGTTCTCTGATAAAAACCAGACCTGGAGTTGTTTTTATATATGTCTATGTTAATTAATACTAGGAACTTCTGGCACAAACAGATTTAAGTTAGAGAAGGTGCAAGTATAAAATCCCTAACTTTAGCAAACAGAAGGCATTAATAGTCTCATTATCTTTTTAAACAGCCAAAAATAATGCGTAATATTTCTCTACTGGATTGTAACCTCAGCCGTGGGTTTGAGGACAGAGCAGACACGAGATTTACAAGTTCCAGGAAATAACATTTTAAAAGGAACTATTGAGAATGTAACAAAAACAAATACAAAAAACAAAAACATGTCTTTATGTGAACCATGGAATGATTTTCCACTGCAGTCATATAAATATTTGTTTCTATGTTTAGGAGGAAGGAGAGACTGGTCCCATGCTCGACCTGAGTCAGAAAGTCCCTCTGCTTCCACCGCGACTGGGAGCCACAGGTGCAGAGAGGGAGAAACCTCCTCTTCCCTCCTGGAGCGAGCGGATGGCGGAACGCATTATCCATGGTGTGTGTGCGTCGGCAAATTCGATTCAATTTGTTTGTGTATAACTCTAAATCACAACAGCAGTCAACTTGCCAACAGCAGATCAGAGAATCAAACGGTTAGAACACAGAAAATGCCATAATAACAAACACAGTGGATCAATTGGAGCAGGGTTATCACTGTCCAGAAATGTTTATGAAAAAAAAACAAAAGGAAAAAAGTGAGAAACCTTGGGGGGAGGCGCACTAACAGAGGGAGCCGCTCCCGCTGTAGATCTAGGACTGAGGCTGTAGATCCAGGATTTAAGCTGTAGATCCAGGGCTAAGGCTGTAGACCCAGGATTGAGGCTGTAGGTCCTGGACTGAGGCTGTAGATCCAGGACTGAGGCTGTAGACCCAGGATTGAGGCTGTAGACCCAGGACTGAGGCTGTAGGTCCTGGACTGAGGCTGTAGATCCAGGACTGAGGCTGTAGATCCAGGACTGAGGCTGTAGACCCAGGATTGAGGCTGTAGACCCAGGACTGAGGCTGTAGGTCCTGGACTGAGGCTGTAGATCCAGGACTGAGGCTGTAGGTCCTGGACTGAGGCTGTAGATCCAGGACTGAGGCTGTAGGTCCTGGACTGAGGCTGTAGATCCAGGACTGAGGCTGTAGATCCAGGACTGATGCTGTAGACCCAGGACTGAGGCTGTAGGTCCAGGACTGAGGCTGTAGATCCAGGACTGAGGCTGTAGGTCCAGGACTGAGGCTGTACTGTAGGTCCAGGACTGAGGCTGCAGATCAAAGACTCAGGCTGTAGAACGAGGACTATAGCCAGTGAGGTTTCATTGGTTTGGTCTTTTGGAGATTTGTGCTTGAAGCTCCACACACTGCGGTAGAAATGACATTGCCGTGGCCATATCTTGTAAATTAACAATAAAAACACACAAACACATCCGACACCTAATAAATTACTGTGTGTATCCCAAGTCAAAATTGTTTAACCGTAAATTTGAGTGTTCCGTACGGTTTTTAATCTGATTTTCCACGTCCAGAAAGTTAGTGGATTGATTTGTGTGTAATTACTGCAGTATTCACAGTTGCTCCTACAGTATTTACACTAACATGGTCTTCTTCAGGAGCGACCTGGCTGAGCGAAGAGTTTAGCAAAGGAGCCGACGTTACAAGTCGAGCCGTTCATAAATCTGGGTTTAAGATCCGGGACAGACTCACCCCTGAGGAAACTCCGACCGAGGTCAGCCCTAGAGTCACCGAAGGACTGGAGGCCACCCAGAAGGCCACCGGGGGCGCTTTGCGGGTCAGCAAGTTTTTAGGTAAGTACTGTACTCTCACGTCTAACACTTATAAGTTGTATTTACAGACATTTGAGCTTGTTTGAGTCATCATATTTATGTCCACATCGCTCTCCCCACGCTTCCCTCTGCTCTCACTTACTTTGATCAACAATTTTCAATTCAATTCATTTTGGTAAAGTCCTAATTCCCAACAGCAATCGTCTCGGAGGACTTTACAAGACACTCAAACAGTCCAAATACAAGAAATGAAATAATTACAAAACATAATCATGTGTAGTAATTCTTGTTCAAGGAGAAGAAAAATTAAATCATTTCTAACTTGATCAGCAAAGTGGTAACACCAGTATTTAAATCTAAAATCCCTGGGGCGCCCTTTCCTTGCAGCGATTGAGTGACACAGGCTGGTGTGTCAAAACAACTTGACATTTAACCCGCCTTGAACCCTAGTCTTTTTTGCGTGTTCAGAGTGGACTTTCTGCCTATACATGTAGCTGTAAGTTAGACAATAACGCAATAAAACCCAGTGATGGGCAAGCTACTTGATTTATGTAGTGAGCTAAGCTACAAGCTACTCTACAATAAATTCAGCTTCACTACACAGAAGCTACCACCCATACAAATGTAGCAAGCTAAGTTAAAAAATTCTGTCAAAAGTAGCTTGCTATATAGAAGCTATTTTCAATTAAACAAACTGCAGTTCATGCAATTTTATATTTTCCTGCATTAACATGTTTACTCATTTCTTATTTTTTGCACAATTCTTGAGTGTTTTATCCATGCCAAATGTGACATGTAAATTTCTCCTGTGTGAGATTAATAAAGTTTATCTTCTTATTTGAGATAAACTGTCAGTCAGATAAAGGTTAACATTTTGTAGATATTTATTGAACAATAGCCCAAAACACCAAAAACAACAAAGAGTAGGCATCTGAAAACATATTTCTTTTCGCTCATCTCGACTAGAGTGACGTACTTTTGGAGGTATGGCCACGGTACAACACTTTGAGAGTCCTTATCATGGTCCTCCTCCACCGCGGCGGCTCCTGGGCTCTCTGCCATGCTTTTGCTTCGCCCAGTAGCGCGCGCGCATGTGTGTGCGTGTGCGTGCGCGCGTACGTTCGTGTGTGTGTGTCGTTACAAAGCCCTGCGCATGCGCATCAGCATTCTGTCTTTCTATATGTTTGTTTTATGCTGCGGGAAAATGCTGTAATAAGTGAACATCAGAGATGTCCGTGAGAAAATAGCTTTGGCGGACGCTACCGCGCTACTTGAGCAATAATATAGCTTAGCTACAGAAAAGTTACTAGGTTTTGTAAATAGTGACGCTACTGTCAAGCTACTGAAAAATGTAGTTAAGCTAGTAGCGACGCTACTTGTAGCGACGCTACTGCCCATCACTGATAAAACCCTTGCTTACATATGAGCCAGAGGAGGAAGGTTCTAAAAATACACACACCAGGGCAATACTTTGGATAATAACAGCTGTGACTTTAGAAGAATTGGGTTTGAAAGTCAGAGGTTTGTTTTTACTATTTCATTTTGGCACAATCCTGTCTGACATGTGGTGAAAAGCTGACACAGGTCTATAAAGCTTGCCAACCTTTCCCACTGTTAGGTCGACACTAAATTTCAACACCTATAGATTCTCACATAGAGCAGACAGAATGAGCTGAGTCCTCTTGCATCACACTATCGTTGTTCTTTGCTGTGCCTCAGTATATTTTTTTATTCTATTATTTTACTTTTTCCAGTTGATGGAGTGAGTTCCGTTGCGGGTCACGTGGCGGAGAAAGTGGCTCCACACGTGAAGAAACATGGAGCCAAACTGGTGCCAGAATCATGGAAAAGCAAAGACGGTCAACCTTCAAACTTTGATGGAGCTAAACACGTAGCTTCCAGCGGCGTGAAAGGTCCTCTCAAAACCTTGTCCTAATATACAATTATATACATTAATTATACAATATTATACATTAATATACAATATTATTATATGACTTGGACCGTACGCGCGCTCTGATTGGCTGATTACCGGTCTGATATTTTCCCATCTCAGATATTTTCCCATATCCAATAATGGGCGACAACTGGGAGCATTCTCCAGTGAATTCTATTATCCGGACGAGTTTGACGAGCCAAAGGAAGAAATTACAGAAAATAACGAAGACAAAATAACTAAAAGACAAGATGAGATTGACAATTTCGTTGCAGACCAGAAAGCTAAAAACACGATTAGGAAAACCAAGTCGGAGATCGATATTTGCATAAATTAAAAATAGTTATATAATAAAACATTTATTAACCTCGCTTGCTCGGTTAATAATCCGTTATTATACATTAATATACAATAATATACATTAATATACAATAATATACAACTACACAACTCAATAACAATTTGGTTTTATTCAATTTTACCTTTACCCACTTTTAATATGTGCAAAAACTGGTAAATATAACTTTAAATACAGGAGAAAAAAAAACAGTTTGTTGAAAGGCTAATGCTAACTGGTAGCAAGTTAACAGTTTTTTGCTATGGTTACTAGGGCTTGTTTTTCTCTACTTCTCTACTCCATTTCAAAATTAAAAGATAATTTCATGAAAGTAAAGACATAGAAATAAACTATATAAAGAAACAGGAAAAGTCATGAGAATAAAAAATTACACTTTACAAAACTAAAAGCCGCCAAACGGGAATTTGAGTGTTGAAATGTGGTGTTTTTTAACCCAGGTTTCTCCACACTCTGGACAAGTCTGGAGGCGGGAGCAAAGCTAGTTGGAAAAAGCGTAACTGCGGAGACGGTAACCACGGTGAAGTACAAGTAAGTGATTCTCAACGCAGTAATATCAAAGAGCGTTCCACAGCTTTCCCTGTCATAATCATTAATAATACAACAAGAATTAAAACTCTATGGGCTTCATTTATCAATTTCCCTGGTTTCGTTCTATTTGAAATGCTATGGTAAATCAGTTTTTTTGGTCCTAATCACTAAACACAAACTTGATAAATGAGGCAAAGTGTCGTACTATACTAATACTTTCTTCTTTCTTTAATTCATACACATCAAAAGGTCCATATACAGTAGGGTTTAATCCCGGGATACGGGATTCCTGGGAAATCTGATGAAAACTATTTCCCGATTCCCGGGAAATGTTATGACGGGAAACGGGAAATGAAAGTAAAAAAAAAAATACAGTGCGCTCCTATTATAAAGCACGTGTATTGTTGTTCAAAGTTCAAACATATTTCATTTACAATCAACATGTCTACAGCTGAGAGGATGGCTCATAAATTGTGTTTTTGACAACAAATATGGGTCTTAATCGCGCTAAACCACGACTTGTAATGAGGCCAGCCTCAGGGTACGGGGCGCATGTGAGCCCAGAATTTGGTTACGTCCAATTCTATCAGAAAGCTCCTTTCTTTTTTTCCATCTGCTAAGGGCAGCAACAGGTTTGGCTAACATACATATAACACATTTTAAGATCATATAAAATGCATTTAGGGTAATGTTCTGCTTCCAATGACGATAGGAATGATAAGGAAGAGAGGAGAAGGGTAAGAAGGTTGATATTAGAAATTGGATGCGCCCGAGAGCCGGCTGCAGCGAACACACAGGAGTTTATGGAGGTGGCACCCGTTTTGTTTTACGCTTTAAAACTCTTTGGGCTTATTTCCAAATGGGGGATTACATATCTGCGCTCAAACTATTATCTGGACTTAAACATGAAACTGGTCTGAACCGAAGTGGTCTGTGCTGTTCATTAATAACTAAGGTAAGACCCATAACACAATTGGAAATGTGCCTTTTACGAACTTTTGCGTTTTGTTTGAGCAAACAATGCGGGCATGGAAAACATTCTGCTGTAGCCAAACTAATTGTGAATAAGCCGCTCTGCAGGTTCTGTTGATTTATATGATATATGTTCATCTGACAGGGCTGAAGTAAGTGCCTCCAAACCACACCGCACGTCACTGGTCGACAAGTGGATTGCGCAGACTTTTAGAATCTCATAATAGTGAAATTCCTGAAGAAAGCTCATCAACAAAACGTCTGAAAACGCTATGGCTACTTTAGCAAAGCTAGCAAGTCGCTTGGTGAAACACTAGTGGAGATGGCAGCTTTTGTTGGATTATATATTTGAGTGATATCACACATTACTTGGGCTAAAAACAACAACTACAAACAACAGCAATTTCCCGGGATTTCCCGGGAAACGCGCCGTCTTTTCCCGGGATATGATACGTCTCATTTTCGGGAAAAATATTAAACCCTAATATACAGAGACAAATATGTTGCTATACTAATGCTATATTATAAAGTATTAGATTCACTTTATGATTTTTAGCCTGGTCTTACCATGTGTAAACTCTGGTCCATAATCATTTCCTACATGTACGTCTGGGTCTTACCCAAGCCCCGGTGATTCAAGATGGCGCCCTATTCAAATGAATGGCTTGTGCTCAGTAGTGCGTGGGACTTCATGGAGACCGGGAGATTAGCTGAACTCGCCTATATTTGGGGTCGTCTGGTCCTCCCGGTTCTGCGCAGTGGACGATCTCCCATGATGCGTTGCGCCAAACGTGCGTGTGTGGCTTTTATGCACGCACACAGAGGGGCTCGGCTGCGCTCTGACCAATCAGAGCTGCTCATCAGAGCAGCGGAAGAGCGGAGCCAGAGCTGGAAGGAAAGGAGCAGAGTTTGGGGACTTTTTTCTGGGTAGCCCTCGTTCAAGAATTTAGTTTTGCAGTACCATGGGCGCCCCCTGTGCCCATAGGTGAGACAGCTGTAAGCTAGTAATACCCTATCCAGTTATTATTATAGATCCATGGTCCATGGTAAACTCTGGTCCATGATCATTTAGCATTTAGCCCTGCTAAAGCTAGGCTAAATGCTAAATGCCTCACTGACTTGGGCACATTACGTAGGTCCTGTTAAACTCAGATCCAATTGTTTCAATCTGCAAAAGAAGTTAACCTCTCCCACCTGTTAACTCAGTTAGTCAATTGACCAAATCCAGACTTTAGTAAGAAATTTAATAAGATAAGATAAGATAAGATAGACTTTATTGATCTCACACAGGAGACATTTACATTTCACATCTGTCATGGATATAATCAATCAAGATTGTGCAAAAGAAAGAAATGTGCAAAAATGTTAAATGTAGGATATATTATGTACAATAAAAAGTAGCAAATTAAAAAAGTGGCAATCAAGAAACAGTGTCAATAAGTAGTGCAGTTTTTTTCCAGTCCTAAAGTGACTTGTTGTACAGTCTGACAGCGGTGGGGATAAAGGCCCTGCAGTAGCGCTCCTTCTTGCACTGAGGGTGCCTCAGTGCTCCTCAGCTCCTCTACAGTCCTGTGCAGTGGGTGGGAGGTGTTGTCCATGATGGAGGTGACTTTCACTAGCACCCTCCTGTCCCTCACCTCCTCCACAGAGTCCAGGGGGCAGCCCAGAGTCCGAGCTGGCCCTCCTGACCAGCTTGTCCAGTCTGTTTCTGTCCCGCTCTGTGCTGCCCGGGGCCCAGTAAATGGCAGAAGCTACCACAGAGTCATAAAAAGTCCTGAGCAGAGGCCTGCTCACTCCGAAGGACCTCAGCCTCCTCAGAAGGAAGAGGCGACTTTGGCCCTTCTTGTGCAGGGCGTTTGTATTATGGGACCCGTCCAGTTTATTGTTGATGTGAACACCCAGGTACTTGAAGCTGTGAAGTACCCAAATACAGACAGTTTATCAAATGCCCGACCAGAGAGGAGAACACTCTGGATCACTGTTACACCACCGTGCGCGGAGCTTTTCGCGCTGTTCCCAAGCCAGCCCTCGGCTTCTCAGATCACTCCATGATACATCTGGTTCCTGCTTACAGACAGAGACTAAAGCTCTCGAAACCTGCAATGAGGAGCTCCAAAGTGTGGTCTGATGAAGCTGTGGAAGAGCTGCGCGCATGCATGGAATCTACAGACTGGGACCTTTTCAGAGCTGCCACAGATAGTTTGGATGAATACACGGACACTGTGACGTCATACATTCACTTCTGTGAGGATAGCATCATTCCAACAAGGACCAGGGTCATCTATAACAACGACAAACCTACGCCAGGGTCCTGTTCGTGGACTTCAGCTCTGCCTTCAACACAATCCTGCCATCCCTGCTCCAGGACAAGCTTTCCCAGCTCAACGTGCCCGATTCCACCTGCAGGTGGATCACTGACTTCCTGACGGACAGGAAGCAGCGAGTGCGTCTGGGGAAGAATGTCTCGGACTCTCGGATTATAAATACAGGAGCCCCACAGGGCTGTGTTCTTTCTCCCCTACTCTTCTCCCTGTACACCAACCACTGCACCTCCAGCCACGACTCCGTGAAGCTGATCAAGTTCGCGGACGACACCACCCTCATTGGACTCATCTCCAACAACGATGAGTCCGCCTACAGGAGGGAGGTGGACCGGCTGGTGTCCTGGTGCAGTGGTAACAACCTGGAGCTGAACGCCCAGAAGACAGTGGAGATGATTGTGGACTTCAGGAAGAGCACTGTCCCCCCACCCCCACCCTCCGTGATGGACTCCCCCATCACCTCTGTGGAGTCCTTCCGTTTCCTGGGAACCACCATCACCCAGGACCTCAAGTGGGAGCCGACCATCAGCTCCCTCATCAAGAAGGCCCAGCAGAGGATGTACTTCCTGCGGCAGCTCAGGAAAGCCAAGCTGCCTGCACAGATGTTGGTGCAGTTATACACGGCCATCATCGAGTCCATCCTCACCTCCTCCATCACCGTGCGGTTCGCTGGAGCCACAGTCAGGGACAAACAGAGACTACAGTGCATCGTGCGCTCTGCAGAGGAAGTGATCGGCCGCAGCCTTCCATCGCTGCAGGACCTGTACGTCGCCCGAGCTCGAGGCCGGGCTGGTCGTATCACAGCCGACCCCTCTCACCCTGCACATGGACTATTCCAACCACTCCCCTCAGGCAGGAGACTGCGGTCCATCAGGACTAGAACCTCCCGCCACAAGAACAGTTTCTTCCCCTCTGCTGTTGGACTCTTGAACACTTCTTAACCTGTCCCCCCGCCCTTTATAAAGTCACTTTACTGCCCATCATACGTCACTTTACTTCACTGTACTGCTGTCACCTTACATTGTGTGCACCATGTGCACTTGTATATTGTAAATAGTAACTGTAACTCTATTTTAAATTTAAATTTATTCTTTAGAAGTGTTTTTTATTCTTATTTTTATTATCTCTTTTTGACTGTTGCACTGAGCCAAAGCAATTTCCTAGTCTGTGACCTCCTGTTACTTACGTGGCAATAAAAATGATTCTGATTCTGATTCTGATTCTGAAAAGAATACAATGGTGTGGTAAGACCAGGCTAGATTATTAACATTTTTACTTTCTGAGTGTGTTCACAGTAAAGTGACAATTGAAGTATCTGGACTTTAAAAGGTTATAACTTAAAAACTAAAATTACTTTCATAGATTGGAAAAAAGATTTCAAACACAGACACATTGAAGAGATAGTGTGGAAAAAATCAAAAGGAAAGATTGACATAAAAATGTTTAGCAACATTTTAAACGACCAAATCAGCCTCTGATTGGACCATTCTACTGTGACTCCAGTTCAGAATCAGAATCAGAATCAGAATCATTTTTATTGCCACGTAAGTAACAGGAGGTCACAGACTAGGAAATTGCTTTGGCTCAGTGCAACAGTCAAAAAGAGATAATAAAAATAAGAATAAAAAACACTTCTAAAGAATAAATTTAAATTTAAAATAGAGTTACAGTTACTATTTACAATATACAAGTGCACATGGTGCACACAATGTAAGGTGACAGCAGTACAGTGAAGTAAAGTGACGTATGATGGGCAGTAAAGTGACTTTATAAAGGTTAAGAAGTGCAGTTGCATGGAAAATAAAATGTCCTCAGTCTGAAAAAGCAGAAGATTAAATCCCACAAGATTTACATGGTTAACACAACATAAGTAAATCACTTGATTATAAAAAGGAATCGTGAAAAAATAAAAATTAATTAATTAATTAAATGACCCCTGAAAAATGTATAACGGACGTGATGAGGACGGCCCTCTTTTCTCTAAAAATTAACTTGAGAAAAAATAAGTTTGTTTGCACATTTAATTGGTTGACAATATGAAAGTATCACTTTGCATCTACTTTGTGTAAAAAAATAGAATCTCTGAATCAAATGTGGACATCTGAAAATACCTATCAAACTTCCACAAAACTCATTCTGTCAAATCATCACGTCCGTTACATAAAATAAACAGGGCCGCTATAGGAAACTTGTCTAATGTATAAAACAGTTATGTTCTAGCAACTTCTAATGGACAGAGGAGGTGTTTGGAAACATGAAAAACATAAAATATCTTCTGATTAATAAAATTAAATTTTTGGCCTTTTGTCACACTTTTGTGCCCTTTAGTGTGAACAAGCCCTTCTACTTTCCCAATCTTCTCAGTATTTCTATATGTACTAAACATGTGATAACCTTTCCTCGTGTCTTGCTCCTGAGGTGGGAGAATACTTTCATATCTCATGTCTTTCAGGTTTAAAGGTTTAGAGAATCTGCTAAACAAGTCCAGCTCCTCCTGACGGCTTTGGGAACTGGGAAATCTTCTTGTCTCTGCTTTCACTTCACTCATAACCAAGTCAATAAGATCCACTTACCTTTTGTGACATTGTAGACTTATATCAGTTTATCATTCAGACAGTTTTAAATCTTTTTGACTTGGTGATGTTTATCGGTTTCTTTTTCTTGCTGTTTTTCTGCTTTGACATTAATGCTTGGACTGATCTGTCTTCTTTGCCTTTTGGTAATAAAATAATGAAAATGAATTTGTTTCCTATGTTTCTTGAGGGTGTTTGACCAATCATGGTGGGGTAATGGGTTTTGGGCATAACTAATGTTATGCATTATGTGTATTAATGTTGTCCCTTAAACATGATCTTGAGAAAATTTCCTTTTTTATGTTTTAGAATGAGAAATTATTCCTTTAGTAGAAAATTCATGGATAAACATAGAAAACAGAGCAAAAGTGGACTAGAATGCTCCAACAGTGCAAGATCATATTTCATTGCATTTACATTTAAATCCGACATGGTGTGGTGTATATGGAGGCACACAATTGTAAATATTGTAATTTTATGGTAAAAAAAAGTTAATCTGTAGAACCTATCTTTGGACCACAGCATTGGAATGTTAAAATCCATGTAATCATAGTTCTAAGCTCTCAAAAGAGTTTGGTTCTAAAAACTGATTTTCACATACATTTTTCCAGGAGTGTGACAAAAGTGTTTTTCGGCTTTTGTCGCATCAGATCAGCTTTTTCAGACAGAAAAGAGAAAATTAGTGGAAAACCCTCACTCAGCTCTCAGTGTGTAAAAGATAAGAGACCTGGGACTGTGTAGGGAAATGAAAAATGTCAAAACCTGATGTCATATTATACTAGTAAGAAGTCATCTTCAGTTTTATAGCACATTTCACAAGACAATGTCACACAAAGCGAGTTAAAATTTTGGTGTCTGATTTTGTTAGCATAGTTTAGTTTAAGGAGCATTTGGGCAGAAGGGGAAGGGGGTGACGTGTTAGTGCCAGAAGCTACTGATGTTATTTTAAGTGTGTTTTAAACATACTGTTAATATTGAAAGAGGAAACAAATGTCCTTTAAAACTTTAAATTAATTACAAGGCTCAATTACAATTTGGTTTTATTCAAATGTACCTTTACCCACTTTTAATGTGTACAAAAAAGGGTGAATATAACTTGAAATACAGACAAAAAAACAGTTTGTTGAAAGGCTAACGCTAACTGGTGGCTAATGCTAACTGGTAGCAACTTAACAGTTTGTTGCTATGGTTACTAGGGCTTGTTCTTCTCTACTGAAAAAAAAATCCTTTAAAACTTAAAGTGGTTCTCACCCCCGCTCCTCGGAGCTTACGTCACTCACATTTCCTGTTCAAATCTTCCTCTAAATGGGCGTAGCCTGGAGGACTAAAGGGGGCGTGAACGAGACTGGGCCGTTTACATTGCTCTGGGCGGGGGGCTGCAGACGTCAGGTCTTGCTTCAGACGTCAGGTCTTGCTGCCGCGCCAGTGTTGGCGCCAGATTCAAAATTCAAATGTAGTAATACAGGTCGCCAGCAGATGGCGCCTCACAGACGGTTTTAGGCAGAAAGTTTAACTTTCAACTAATTTGCACCAAAGTGACAAAATTATGACCAGGATATGTAGACAACACTATTGGACATTCATTTCTACCGTTTATCAGCAAAAAAAAGTGGATTTGAGGGTGAGTTGTCCTTTAAGGCTAATTTATGAATGTATAATACAAAATGTCCTAACCTCGTGTGACAAAGGTATGGTATGGACGCCGGAGAAGCCACCGACACGGCTCTGAAGTCTGTGGTCAACGTTGGAGTGACGGCGTACAACATCGACAACCTGGGAATCAAGGCCATCATGAAGACGGCTGGGAAGGAGACGGCGAAGGCCATGGTCAAAAGAAAAGACGGAGAAACAGTAGAAGGAATGGATACAGAGAAACCTCAGACAGACTCTAACACAGACCTCACACTCATGAAAACAGAGGAGAAATAAGCTAATGTTATATTGTTTTGTTTTATATGTGGGGAACATTGTGATGTACATTTTAACTTTTGTTTGGTAATAGATAGATAGATAACTTTATTTGCAGGCTCAAGGTCCAGATCAACACAGACACAGACAAGAAATAACATAAAATAAAAATAAACGTATGAATAATTGTATGAATGAATATATGTATTATGTCAGGGAAGCCATCACTAAGCTACACATCCCTATTTATTTGTCAAACATCAATTGCAATTAATCTACAATGTTTGAGAAAAAGAAGCTCATATTTTCAACCTATTTTTTGCTTCATTTTTGTTTAGCATGTATTCTAACAGGGTATCTACACAATTATGAACACAACTGTATTCAAATTCAGATTCAATTTATTTGCCATTGGCAGAAAAAAAACACACTGGAATACTTGTGCAATAGTTCCCCAGTGTGCACCGGACAAGTACAGGAATAAAACAAGTTAAATGTAATGTATGCCAAGATAGTAATGTGAACTATAAAGAGAGAAAGAGCGACTTCAAGATTAAAACCATTATGTATAGTGCAGTCAGAAATAGGGATTCCCTGTTTTTTTCATATAACGTTAGATTCATTGAAAAAATACACGCATACACACACGTACACACACGTACACACACACACACACGTATAGCGTTATATGTACACGCACACACACATGCACGCACACGCACATTCTTATTGGGATTGGGATATTTTCAAAATTGTTCTCCCCAACACAATAAAACATCTAAATACAACAAGACAATTTAAATCAAATGCATAAATAAAACCGCTAGCATCGCGTGACTGATGCTAGCGGTTTGCTTACATGTCTCACTTCCGCATTCTACGGCGTATCCATGGAAACGCCACGGACGAACTTTTTACAACTTGAATACAGATTTGGAGTAAAAAATGAGCCACAGACACGACCCACTGCGGCTTCAGGCAGAGCTGCAGCAGGAGACAGAAGTCAAGTGAGTTTGTCGGAGTTCATACGTGTTTGTGTGTGAAAGAAACGACGCGTGAGTTTGTTTTTGATCAGAGAAATGTTGGAGGAGTCTGTGACAGAGCTGAGGAGGACCCTGTGTGAGCTACAGGAGCGGCTGCAGAGCGTGGAGGTGGAGGGTACGTGCTACATATAGGTGCTAATATAGGTGCTAATACAGGCGCTGATTCAGGTAGATAGATACTTTATTGATCCCCGTGGGAGAAATTCAGTTGTCCAGTAGCAGCAAAAAAAAATAAAAATAAAAAGCTAACAATAGTAATAATCAGCAACAGCCTGAAAGTTGTGGGTTCGAGCCCACCACAAGACCTACTTCACGACTCCCACTGATGACTGCTGTCGTTGTGTCCTTGGGCAAGACACTTAGCCCCACTTTTCCTGAAGACCCTGCTGAAAGATCTCAACTCCTGTGGACTCACCACTTGCAGGAGGATCAGTGAGGGGCTGGTGCTACTGTATGTGTAGGGTGCAGCTCTGACTGCCATCCCCCTGACCCAGAAATGGACTGAGGGGAAGAAAATGAATGGATGGATGGATGGATTCTTACTCACTCAACTCAACTCAAAAACTTTATTGTCCCCAAGGGGAAAATTGTTTGCATGTGGTGGAGCAATACAAATAGCAATACAATAATACAAAGATCTCAGTGAGTATGGCACATATCAGGGAACATCACAACATAATCAAGAGGAAGCATGTCTAGATCTTTAAAATTGTCTGTTCAACAGATTAACTGCGGAGACCACAAATGAACATTTGAAACGGTTTGTTCTAGCCCTGGGAAGCCGATATCTTCTCCCAGAGGGGAGCAGTTCGAACTCCAACCTCAGGGGGTGGTCACAGATGGACAAAACAGACTGAACTTTGTTCAGGACCTGTCTTTCATATATTTGTGTCAGAGACATTTGTTGTTGGCCAATTATACGATTGGACACAATTTTTCCCATGCGACTTCTGTTTTGGACAGACAGGTTTCCGTAAAAGGAAACTAAACAGGAGGACAGAACAGACTCGATAAAGGACCTATAAAAAAGCATAATCAGGGACTTGTCCACATCAAAAAACTTTGGTCTGCGTAAAAAGTACATTCGTTGTGCCCCTTTTTTGCAGATCTGGGAAGTGTTCTCATCAAACCTCAGACGGTTGTCTATGATGGTTCCCAGATACTTGTATGACTCCACTGTCTCCACTGCACAGCTGTGGATGACAGTTGGGGGCAGTGAGAGTTGTGGAGCCTTCCCAAAGTTAAGGACCATAAGGATCTTACTATTAATTCCAAGGCTAAGATTTGTTGGAATGTCAGACACCATCATCAAAAGAGTCACATCTAGCTCCAGAACCATATGTTCCTAACCTCTGCCCTATCCACATAAAAAGCAGTGCTCTTAGTGGTTGCGGGCAAAAAGAATGTATCAGTGTTATTTTTAACTCGACTGAAGTCTAATGTCTACAATAGAAGTTGGTCCACTTGTTGTGAAGGTGCATGTGGGTTGTTAAGATTCCCAAAGATACATCCCATTGATGTAAGGAATGGACAGTGCTTCTGCAAGTTAATTTCTATCTTCAATCTATATTTTTGAACCGCGACGTATTGACCATACGTATGTGTTTGTCATATCAGGGAATGAATGGAAGACCAGGTATGAAACACAAGTGGAGCTGAACGGGCAGATCAAACGGCAGATCTCGCTCATAAAGGAGAAGTTAGAGGACATGCAGGGAAATCCTATTGGTGAGTTTGTTTCCAGGTTCATTCCTTAGTTACTAACAACAACCAGCGCATCATCCTGTTGTTTGTGTCTGGTTCTGTTTCAGATCGTTTGGCTTCTATACGTTCTTATGAGGAAATGTCTACAGTAAGTACGTCTAGTTTTTCTTATTTTTTAACCATAGAAACAAAAAAAGGCCGGAATGTGTTGTTCTGTGCATTTGGTAAAACCCAAAACTTCACTTGGTGGGACAGATCTCTGGGTTTGTACTCAAAATATCATTCAATAGATCAATCTCTAATCTGAAAAACACAGTGCTTCACATGACATAAAACAAGAAAAGAGAATGGAGCAAAAGATGGAAGGCCCCTGAAACTTTAGATGGAGGAAAATACATAATAAAAGAAAAAGACGTAGGAATTGTTAGATTTAGGAACTCATGGAGGAATTCTGCATTGGCCCCTAAAGGAGTTACTGTATTGTATTGAAGAAGAAGAAAAAAAGTACTTAAGTATTGATTTTAATCACTTTTAGGAGGACTTTACAAAGTTGTCGATTCACCAGCAACACATCAGAGAATCAAACCGTTTGAACACAGGAAATATTGACGGACATTGCAAATTAGATTCGATTGTATGCACTTGTCCCTATCAAATAATGAACAAATAAAAAATACAATAATAACAAACATTCAGGAACCATTTGTCCATAGGGAGCAGGATGACCATGTCCTTAAAGGTCCCAGATCATTGCTGTCCTTAGACCCTCCTGCACCAGCAAGGAACGAGAAAAACAGTGAGAGACCTCGGGAAGGCCCCAGGTTGAAATTACAAATCTAACCTGTGATATGGGCTTTGAACCTGTCGTACAGATAAACCACCAGTAGAGGGCAGTAGACACCTACTGTCAGTGAATGAGAGCCGCACGGTCGAACGCTGGCAGCTGCTCTCTGCTTGTTGTGAGAAGCTGAGTAAACCAGACTTTAATCAGTGCTCTGTAATCACAGGATTACAAACCATGGGAGAGTAATGCACACTAATTACAATGCTTTAACACTGCACACAGACACACGGCCATTTCAGTCTCCTCTAACTCAAGTCCACCGCCACCGTGGATCAGTATAATGCCACACCATATCACTTGTGTGGTGGGTGTTTATCATGTTCTTGTGAAAACATGTATACATTTTGCATTATCATCATGTATAATGTAAGAATATTTTTCAGAAGTTACATAATTCACCTTTAAGTGCCTGAGTATGGAATAAACTGACGTATTCTTCCTTATACATTTTCCATGTTTTTTTGTCCCAACAGAAAGAGTTTTGAAAAATTAGCATTATGTGAAGAGATTTGACCAAAGCATTCTGTATTAATCTGATCAGAAAACATCTTTTGTGTTAGAAAGATCCCTGTGAGTCACTATTTGACGTTTTGGACTGAAAGCTGATTGGCTGAGTGAGGGTGGTCCTCTCTTTTGTCTTAAAAATTTGATCTAAAAATGACTGAAAATACATTCACGTGCAGAGTAGTAATCAAACCTATGTTGAGGGTGAGTTAGATTGAGTTATTTACAACGTTTAATCTTTTAGAAATTGAAAGTTAGGTACCCCAGCTTTATCTCTCATACATCAGTTCATAGGATTATTATTGTTATTATTAGTATGGATGACGACAGATTTGGACATGAGTCTTCCGTCTGTGAAGGTCGGGTGTGTATTGTCTCAAAGGCAAAAGATTTAGAGTTTCGACAACTTAAAAAATACTGTAATAATCAGGATAAGATAAGACATCCTTTATCCGTCCCCCAGTGGGGAACTTTCAATGTTGCAGCGCACAGACAGGACAGTAGTAAGACACAGTCAAACAAAATATACAATATGAGCAGCTGCAATGTTTCATAGCTGTAAATGCTCAATCAATCAATCAATAAATCAATACATCTCTATCGATCTAGTGCACAGCTGTATACATATAGGGCAGAATAAGTACATACAGTGACATTCAGTGACATTCTGAAATTGCAGTATTGCACATTACATGTGATTGCAGTATTTACTATTTACCAATGAATGACTGATGTCTCATTGTACAGTCTGACAGCAGCAGAAAGGAAAGACTACATCAAATGACTATCAAACCAATTGTATATCAGTATTTGTTTTATTGTCATTGTAAGTAACAGGAAGTCACAAACTAGGATTTTCTTTGGGACATGGTGCAAACAAGTTATTTAAAAAAAACTGTAAAAAACTCAAAAATAAGAAAGTTATAAAAGCTTTCAAATCTTTAGTGATTTTCCCCCATAGCTGGAAATGGGTCGTGTCTGTGTGAGAGCCACTGAAGCCTGAGGCAGCAGTAACAGATGCTCATTAGTTTTTTACAAAGTGACTGTGAAATTCTGGATTATTTATGGAGATTTAGAGAAAAGGTGCCATTGTTTTTCACTCTTTAACAACACATATTAAAGCTGGGGTACCTAACTTTTTTGTTCCATGAAAAATACATGTTAATACGATAAAATAAACTCTTAAAACTGTTTTGTTCTATCACAATTTTTCACGTTCATTTATTTGTGGCCAACCTTGAAAAGGAAAGAAGAGAGAACCACCCTCACTCAGCCAATCAGCTCTCAGCCCAAAGAGTCAAACAGTGACTCACTTAAATGAACCCAAAACGCCGGACTGCGAAAATAAGTGATTTAAAAAGACTAAAACAAAACAAAATCCAGAGTAAAATCCAGAAAAAGTGATGGGAGGGGCCGATGGCACGTAGTGGTTGCCTCGCTTCTGTCAGTGTGCCCCGGGCAGCTGTGGCTACAGTAGTAATTTATCACCACTGTGTATGGAGTGAATGAATAATGACGTGTGAAGTGTCTTTGAGTGTCCTGAAAAGTATTATGTAAAACTGATGAATTATTACTATTATTATTAAATATGATAAAATATGATTTATGTTGTGGTCTGATTATACTTTGTAGAACTCTTTCTGTTGGGGCAAACAAAAAAAGTATTTGGTATCATTTAAGCAGGCCCTGAAGAAACGCTCCCAATTGGGGTAGGGTAGGGTATAGTAGGGTAGGGTAGGGTAAAGTAGAATAGAGATTTTATATTTTCATCTTTCTTTTTAATGTACTGTGATTATTCATTATTTTAATGCTATTTTGTTTTGTTCTGTACTTTGAGTTGCCTTGTGTATGAATTGTGCTATACAAATAAACTTGCCTTGCCTTAGAGTAGAGTAGAGCTTGTGGAAATCTGACTTGAGATATGAGTTATTTGACTATAGGCACAAACATATGAAACCTAAATCTTTTAGAATCCTACAATAATGATGGTGTCTTTGTCTTTAGGAAACATTAAGTCAGAGACTGCAGCTGTTGACCAGCGAGAAATCAGACCTTCAAACCCAACTCCAGGACTGTCATCTCCAGATCGAACTGGAGGGGAAGGTACATTCTTCAGCCATAAAATGTATTCATGTATGTGTTTTCCTACACATACAAAAACATATTAACCTTTGTCCTGTGTCCTTAGCAAACACGTAGCTTACTTCCTGTGAAACTAAACAGAAGTTGTGTGAATTGAAACGCAGCATACCTACAGTAATCTCTGCTCTTTAACGCCCAAGACCTCCTCAAATTCGTGCCTGCAACAGACCCAGCATAAACCTCCTCCCGACTCCACAGACAGATTATTGCTGCCGATAAAACAATCCTAATCCTGGGCTTTGTGTGATATGTTTCTAATCCTAGGCCTTTCACAAAACCAATGATGAGAGGCGGGCGTTTCTGTCGGAGATGGCAAAGGTAAGAGAGCAAGGAAATCCACCATCACCTGGAGCTCCATCAGTAATCATTATTTGCTAATTATTTACAGAAAAACCCCACACGATCAATAGATGATGACTATTTCTATAGTTATACATATATGTCTCAACATCACATATATTCAATAAAATATGAAAATGGATGTGATATATTGGTTTCAGTCATCCAACAACTTCCTCCACCATCGTTATGTGTAGGCTTCACATTCTTCACACTGCATATTATAGTTCTTTTCCTCTTGTTTTAGTAAGTAAGTGTTTATTTCAAACTTATATTTTCATACAGCAGATCAAAAAACAAAAAGCATTAACTTTGAAATATACAGTTTAAAAAGGGGTTGGACGAAGCAAATGCTAACGCTTTAGACGATCCTTTCTATCTAGTTTTATTGTTATTATCACATTGTTTTCGGTCTAACTGATCTTCTCTTTTAAAAGTACATGCAAAAGAAAGAAGACATTTAAGAAGTAGTCCAGAGAATCCTCATGTGTGGTATCGACTGGGCTGTATACAAGTCTCTATAATCCTTCTCATCTACCGCTTCGCTAACTATTAAGCAGATACTGTTGGGCTTTAAACATGATAATAAGACTATGTACTTTGGCTTTTCATGAATGTGAAATCATGTAATATATATATAAAACATGTTGAAAGGATAGAAATCAATCACAGTGTGTAATTCCTCATTTCTACCACCAGAGGGAGCTGTTTGGATTTGGTTAGAACACACTTAATTGTCCCCAGAGGGATTTTTTTATTGGACTCAGCTCAACAATTGACACAAGGAAAAACAAATACAAACGTTAAGATAAGAGATCCTTTATCCGTCCCGCAGGGGGGAAATTTCAATAGTGATAAACTACTACTGCAGTGGCCACAGCTGCCCCAGGGCACACTGACTGAAGCGAGGCAACCAGTCTGTGCCATCGGCCCATCACCAACTTTAACCATTCATTCTTGCCTAAGGGCTCAAAGACAGGTTGGGTCTGACGAGATCTGGCTTTCTCCTGCAGGTGGCACCACTTGAGACTGTTCAATCAGCATTTAGTTAGTTGATTGAGTGACTTATAAACATAACCGTTCTGCAAATACAGTCACTAAGTCATTTTATCAGAGACATCGTATAGATAAATTGGACGAAACACTTTTGTTTTAAAAGTCAGACAACAGCTCAAAATCTGATGCAATGAATTCCTCATTGTGTACAAAATCTGAGGCAAGAGGATTGAAATAAGTCCAGCTGTAACTTGTTTTAAACTTTTACCCTTATATTTATAAACCTAGTATTTTGCCCTTTGACGTACATGTAGAACAGCCCCTAGGATATGTTAATGGCCTGGATAAATAAACAGAGAAACAGTACATTGTAGATTACTGTACTAGCATCTTAAAAGACAAAAGCAAGAAGCTATCATAGAGCCAGAGATAAGTCAGTATGTATTGAATAAATATTGCAAATGTGACGAGATACAGAGAGTAGTGTAGAGAGAGCTGCTGATCCGTGTCCTACATCTTACTCCTGTCGTGTTTTTCATTCATCTTCTGCTGCTGTTATGTAAGAAGTGAGCCGTGAACTAGAAAAGGAGTCAAGGACGTTGAAGCTGAGGTGAAGAAAAGATTTCCCTTGTGGTTAATCGTCTTCCGCCTGAGAACAATGCTTTGTAATCTAAAATGTGTGGAATGCAGTGTTATGTGTTGTTTATATTGTTAATCGTTTATATTTGCAGTTGTCGTCAACACTTGAAGTCCCGAGACATCGCACGAGTCTTCCACATGGACCAGTGGAAAGCAGACAGAGAAGGTGAGGACTGGAGGGAAATGAATACAGCTACTACTGTCCTTGTTGCATCTATAGTCCCATTTGTTTTACAGGCCCATTACACAGAAGGCAAGTTTATTTGTATAGGACAGTTTATACACATGGGAACTCAAAGTGCTTAACAAAACAAGGCATTAAAATCATAAATAATCACAGAACATTGAAAAGAGTGAAGATACAATCCTTCAGTCGTATGGACAGCTAAACAAAACTGCTTTTAACCTGGATCTGAAATGTTCCCACTGTGGGACAAATATAGGGTCTCAAAGAGCAACTAAACACCTGTGTCCAGCCTGACTCCGCCCACATGAACATTTGAGAATGTTCTCTAAAAACGGCGTTGCCCTAGGACCAGGAGACAAGAAGGGGGGCGTGGTCTGGGCTGTGATTGACAGCTTGCTTGTCACACAAAAAAGAAAACAGACAGTTGTCATTGCTGCTTAAAGCAACAGTTTACACACCAGAAAGTTTCATTCCACCCTTGTTTACACACTAAGATAAATGAAAAGCTACACACCTAGCAGCAGTGGCTGCAACTGATGTAATTTAATATTAATCCACTAGATGTCAGCAGAATATTCCAACTCTCTGCTGGGGCGTGTGTGAGTGTTGGATGGGTTTATATCACGGGCGCAGAGGGACGCACGTCACACACACCAACTGACATCACACATCACTCCAGAGCCAATGGAGAGGCCAGGACCAAAATTCAAATATAGTGCCACTAATAGGCAGAGAGGGCGCCACACAGACGGTTTTAGGTTCAATTTAAAAATGTAAGTGAATTTTTTATCAAATTGGCAATAAAATGTAAAATAAATGACTAGGACATGTAGAGAGCACTTTAAGAAACATATTTATGCAGTTTTTGAGTTAAAAAAAGTTGATTTGGTGTTTAGTTGTCCTTTAAGGATATGAACATTGTCAGAGTAGAAGCCTGCCTCACATTCTCAGTCCTGAATCTGGGCACCAGCAGGAGGCCAGTCCCTGTGCTCCTCAGTGTCCGAGTTGGAAGCACTAACATGTCACAGATGTACTTTGGTTTGAGGCCATGGAGAGTAAAGTAGAGCTATGTCTATTCAAGAAGCCAGTGCAGAGACCGTTGTTGCTACATATTTACTGACCTAATGGCAACATGTAGAGATTGAACAGAAGAGGTACCAAGATTGACCCCTGTGGTACTCCACAAGTCAGGTTCATTTGATCTGATTATAGATATTGGACTCAATAATGTTCCATGTAGTTGAGTAAAAATATGTATATCCCAGCGCAGACACATTATTCATGTTTAACTTACTGTGTTACTAAAATTATTATTGAGTTTAATGCTACCACCTGAAAACTGGTAGCATTAAACTCAATTGTGAAATTGTTTTGTATTTTTTTTTTTTTTTAATTACCAGCAGAAACCACATCTGTGTGATTAGTAAAGAAAGTAATTGCCAAAAACTAGTTTATGGGCAATACTTTTATTGCAAAGCCAGAAAACTGGGGATCGTGGTGCATAAAAATACAGGACAGAGGGAGAGTTTTTATAGAGGAGGGGCAGAGGGCATGGATGGGGTTAAAAACAACTCCAGGTTTGTTTTTGATAAAGGAACAATGTTGTCTAATGATTAAAAGACAGACAAAGTTGCCTAATATGTCTCGTGTAGATACCTGCATGCATGCATGGTAACCTGAATTATAAAACACATTCATTATTTATATCTTTTGTAAATGGAAATGAATAGGTTTTTCATTATTGATGATTTGACACACACAGGGTGAAGCCGAGCAGCCGGAGAGCGGAGGCTGCGGAGCCCGGTCGTCAGCCGCAGGGTCCTGGAGGTGAAGTGGGCGGAGCTTCAGCAGCAGGAGTCACAGCAGAGAGGAGAAAAGAGAAGAGGTCCCAGAGGGGGAGCAGGTTACCCACGCTCCAACACTACCTGAAACACTAGCCTCCACTTGGCCTTTGAATCCAGGACACAACCGGTCTGTGCAGAGGCCTGGGGCGACCAACTCCAACTCAAACCAGAAGTCTCCAAACCCCAAAGACACAAAACAAATATAAAAACAAATGAAAAGTGATAAATACAGAGTGTAAATATCATGCATTTTCATTTATGCTACATTTATGCTATATATAACTATATATTTTGCTCGTCCCAAAAACATTTACCAAAACAAGACACATTTTACATTATTCTTGTACTTTTTGAGTTGGTATACTTCCAGACATACCACTTGTATTGAGTCTCTATCCCAGAGGTCGACCTGCGGCTCTTTTGAGGATTGTATGGCTCTCTGACAAATCTGAGTAGGCATTAGTATTAAGTATTCTCCATTGTGAAATCAATATGTTTTCTTACCTCTTTCCTTATTGGATTTCTTTAGTATAAAAATAATAATTAACAAAATAATACATTCTGAGACTTTTTGGCACTCTCAGCTAAAAAGGTTCCCGACCTCTGCTCTATCAAACAAGCAATTCAATTTTATTTTTGTATAGGCCTAGATCACAACAGTAGATATCTCGGAGGACTTTACTAAGCTGTCAATTCACCAACACGGATTAGAGAATCAAACAGTACAAACACAGGAAATGCAGTGATAAAAAACACATAGAGCCTTTGGTCCATAAGGAGCTGAGACCAATGTCCATAAATGCCATTGAATTATGAATGTTGAATATGTGGCTTTGTATTGAGTCTCTTTCATATTTGGTTCCACAATTTAAGTTTCAGAAATAAGTGAACTTTTGGATATTCTCATTTCGTGAGTTTGTTGAAAGTGCCATAAAAGCCACTGCCAGTTTGAACCATTATTACTGAGCCTTTTTTTGTTCCACGATCCAGTTTTGTTTCCTATAATCTTTGAAGTGAAGACCTCCTGTAGGAGAGAGATCACGTGTTTTCAGATCAAGAGGTCGCCTTCTCTTGCATTTATCGCGTGCTGTTGAGCTTTCGCAAATTTCACACATTTCTCTCAAAGGCACCTCCCACTTATATTACACATAACCACGCACCACGCAACACTTTCTTCAACTTCACCCACAGAGAGAAGCAGCTCCTGTTCCTCCGACTGACCGCCTTTTCTCATGTGGGAGGAAGAGAAGCTGTATCCAGAGAGAGAATCTGAACCAGTCCAAAGTCCAAAGGGCAAACACTACACACTGCTGCTGCTGTAGGGTTCTAGGATCGTTGCTCATGACGTGTGACGGTTTAGTTATTAATAATATTGCAACATGTTCAGATACATTTGTTTTATTGGTTTGTGTAAACTTTGATAAATGTCATGTCTGTTTTTTTTTCTATTCAAACGTATGGTTATCTTGTAAAGAACACATGTTTTTATTATTTATGTCATTTTCTACCCCTTTATTTATCCATTTCTGGGTTTGTGGGGGAGTTGTGGTAATCAGAGCTGCCACCCAAGTCTCTGCCCTGGGCTTTCAGTGGGGGCAAAGTTCAGGCAAAGTGGGGTTAAGTGTCTTATTATTTATTATTAAACCAAAATTAAATAGCTATTTTTTTTCACTTTTCACATTATTTTTTAAATGTCATCTGGAGGTGGAAAAGCAGTGGGCAGTAATGTGGGGGTCGATCGCAAAGAGACTTTTTGACCGTGGTTTATTTCTGAATAGACAAAAGAGTGTTTTTGTCGGTTGTAAATCTGTTTTTGTAAATGTTGTCTTTTTAATGCATGGACCCAAACAGACGAGCTGATTGTAATGTTTTCAGCAAATGGAATCTATATAAATGAACCAATAAAAAGCCCCTGGAAATACATCAACGTTCGCCCAGGGTTATTAGCGGGGACAAGGGGGCATTTTCCCTCATACACACCTGGATTCTGTCCTGAAGAAGTCGAACTGCAGGTGGCGCTGTCGTCCGCCTCTGGTGGGAAGACGTCACAGGAGCATTACTTGGCCATCTGTTAAACAAAGCTCGTTTTCACTCATTTACTTTAACCCATGTCCATCCATCCATCCATCCATTTTCTACCCTTTAATCCATTTCTGGGTCAGGGGGGTGGCAGTCAGAGATGCCACCCAAGTCTCATAGCACCAGCCCCTCACTGACCCTCTGCAGGTGGTGAGTCCACAGGAGGACGGCTGCTCTCTGAGTGTGAGCATAGCCTTGATCTTTAACCCATGTGCTACCCTAAATACATTTTTTTTTCCAGCTAAATTTTGATGATTTTTCCGAACTTTACCAGTCCTGAGTTATTTAGACCCAAATTTAGGGTAATTTTCTTCTACTTTTAATCACTGTGGCAGGTAGCACAAGGGTTAAGTGTCTTACTGTACTTGTTTTATACTTCTACAGCCTCTCTGATCTATTACTGAGGAATTGACAATTTTGTTGAGACGACTGCTGTTAAGACTTAGGGCTATACATAAATACATTGAATTGAATGTGCCATTTTTCGCAGGGCACCGAAAAATGGCGCATTCTGGCGTTTCTGTCCCTTGCTGCAGCGAGCTTAGTCTCCCTTGTGTTCACCGCGGTGCGACCGGCACACTCGGTGACAAAAACCTCAGAGATAGAAGCAGAAACTCTTCCAGTGTCGTCTTTATCCAGCAGCGTCAGCTCTGCAGCTTTAAGGGCGCTATACCCGTTTCTGCAATGTTTGAATGTTTAGCACCGCCCACCAACTCGCTCACAGGCTTCTCATTTCTCCTACGCTCGCTCTCATCCCACGGAGCCACCTAGTTTTATTTGCGATCTGAAACGTATGCTAACATTAGCATTAGCGCAACTTCTTGTAAGCTGTACAACAATAACTGATGAAATGGCACTAAAAACACACTGCTAACACAATATATAAGTAAAAGAATACCGCTAGTTTCGCGTCCAAATGTATTAATTTAAACATTAGAATATACTCTAATCCATCCATCCATCCATCCATTTTCTTCCCCTTAATCCATTTCTGGGTCGGGGGGGTGGCAGTCAGAGCTGCACCCAGTTCACAGAGCACCAGCCTCTCACTGATCCTCCTGCAGGTGGTGAGTCCACAGAAGCTGAGATCTTTCAGTGGGGGCTTCAGGCAAAGTGGGGTTAAGTGTCTTGCCCAAGGACACAACGACAGCAGTCATCAGTGGGAGTCGTGAAGTAGGTCTTATGGTGGGCTCGAACCCACGACCTTCAGGCCTAAAGGCCAGTGCTCTACCAACTGAGCTACTCTCGCCCAATAATATACTCTAATATTTAATTATAATTTATTATACAGCTCCTCACAGCAGCAGCACTCCATTGACTTGAATGCAATTCTTCCGATCATTTTTTCTTGATAACAGAACTCTCAAACCCAATGCAATCTCTGTTTGTAATTCAGGTGTATAAAATAGTGCCATTACTCCGCAAGTACAACAAGCTATCAGCGCCTGTCACTACACTGTGCAGTTTCTCTGCACACTTGTCTGTGTAGAGAAGCTAGCGGAGCTAGCCACGCTCGATAAACAAATACATATCTATCAATCAACACCATTAAACGTTAATCGGACAATACAGTACACATATACATCCTTAACACACATGCACGGACGATTTCAGAATTTGCTGTCAATGTTTTCATGACAAAAATACTGTTTTAAAGTGACAAAAAGCGATCGCAAAAAACCCGGAAGTTACCATGAAACAGCTAGCTAGCTTAACTGTTACCTGCCTAGCACGTCCCGGTGAAACCTTTGGGAGCTAACTATTTTATTTGCAGTCATTAAATACATTTCGAATTTTAAGGGTTGTCTAATATTTGTTGGAATATATTTATATATATATATATATATTTTTTTTTTTATTTATTTTAGAATTATATTCGAATTTTGAAGTCGAAGCCCTGGTGTTAAGCAGCGCTGTAGGGGCTAGAGGACGCAGGCTGGTCGCTGCTCGTTCTGTGAGCGGAGGAGAACGAGCGTCCCGCTAAGACTCCACTCAGCACTTTTCACTGCTTGTAATTCTTACACAGCTGAATCAATGACCTCAAGTTTTCAATTAAATGATGTATTATGATACAACTTGTATGTAGTAAAAAGCATTTTTATGAACTTAGAAAAAAAATCAGGTATAGCTTCGTTAACGGAATTATGGGCACAAAAATATCATTTGAGACGTTGTAACCTGGATTTGAATATTGTCAGAGAAGAAGCTGTCTCACATTTTCAGGAAGACTGTATCAGATTTTAGCCGCAAAAATCTGAAATGAATTCTGAAAATCTCCCATGTTGAGTCTTGACTCTGGGACCAGGAGACCAGTCCCTGCTACTCAGAGTCTCAGCAGGAAACCAGTCCCTGTGGTCCTCAAAGACCAGCAGGAGGCCCGTTCCGTGTGATCCTCAGAGTCCCAGCAGGAGGCCAGTCCCCGTGCTCCTCAGAGTTAGTTCATATACAGTAGCACTAACATGTCACAGATGTACTTTGGTGCGAGGCTGTGGAGACAATTTGTTGATGGAGCAGATTTATATTTTATCTTTTAGAGACCAATGTATTCCTTTGCTTTCTTTTCCCTAAAAAACCATTAGCAGAGCAATGCGTCCATCCCTCCCTGGGTTTACATCCTAATTGATTGATGTTTGGGTGCGGGCACGGCTCCATCAAAACCTGGAGCAGTTTAAGAGCAGCTCTGGAGCACGTGAAAAGTGATATAACATTATTGTGCACAGTCTGCAGGGAGCTCAGAGTCCAACACATGCTGCAGCTTCAAAGTCTATCCTCAAAACTCGTCTCCTCTGAGGGTTTGCATCAATCCTGAATGAGGAAGACAACGAGGTCTGGAAATATATGGACGATCAGTGAGGAAGCGGTCATTTATTATATTAAAGAGATGCCCGCCATAATTAAAGACTAAGAGGAAACAAATAAGAGTGTGTGTGTCCTGTGGGGGTTGGGTCTCTGTGTGTGTACGTAAGAAAGTTTTTATTTATATACCGCCTTTTCACTGCAGATCTGAGTCTCAAAGCGGTTTACAATTGTTAATTTTTGGGCATTTGTCTCTCACTCCACACAGAGATGGGAGCGGGGTCGCCAGTACAGGAGGCGCATGCCAGAACTATTGGACATATTTTTAGTGGTAGGGGAAACCGGAGTACCCGGAGGAAACCTACGCAGACACGGGGAGAACATGCAAACTCCACTCAGAAAGGCCCTGGTCCGACCGGGATTCGAACCCAGGACCTTCTTGCTGAGAGGCAAGAGTGCTAACCACTCAACCACCGTGCCGCCCACATACGTGTGTTTGTATGTGCATGTGTGTATGTATATATGTGTGTGTACATGTGTGCATGTGTCTGTATGTTTGTGTGTGCGTGTGTGCGTGTATGTATATGTGTGTGTGCGTGTATATATGTGGGTGTGCGTGTGTTTATGTGTGAGTATGTGAGTGTACATGTGTGTATGTGTCTGTATGTTTGTGTGTATTTTTGTGCGTGTGTATGTGTGTTTGTGTGGGTGCATGTATGTATATATACATGTGTGTGTACATGTGTATGTGTCTGTATGTTTGTGTGTATGTGTGTGCGTGTGCATGTGTGTGTATGTATACATGTGTGTGTGTGTTTATGTGTGAGTATGTATATGTATGTGAGTGTGTGTATTTTTGTGAATGTTTGTGTCTGTGTGTCTGTGTATCTTCACTCTTTTTTATGAACCGTGATTATGTAATATTTTTAAGCCTTGTATGATTGTAATTTATTCCCTGCATAAATATCTTTGTTATTTACCCCGCGGTCGATCAAAACAGACCAGCTGATGTCCGGAGTGTGAGGGGGGGCGTGCGCCATCCAGGCACGGGCGCTGAAGCGTGGGTCGCATCCTAATGAGGAGGGGGTGAATGAGAAATCACGACGCGCGGAGTGACGTGGGAGCAGCGTGAGGAGGGAAAAAACACAAACAGCGCTGGTTGGTGGAGCAGGCAGAGGGGGAGACAGCTGCGACCACCCCGGGACTCGAGTGGAGGTAGCGGCGGTGGCAGTGGTGGTGGTGGTGGTGGTCCTCATCCAGCGGACAAACAAAGACGCACAAGGGGGAAGGTGACACTGCGTTGTGGGGCTCTTTATCCAGTCTGAATTGTAGTTTTTTCTCTTTTCATTCAGACTTTGTTTTATTTTTTGAAGGACTGTCACGCTCGTGTTGGTGAGTAACATTTATTATGTGTCATAGATTCATAGATTCCTTTTAAACTGAGTAACGTTGTTATACAGTATTCTGCTGTGTCATTCATCTAATGTGCAACTCACTATAAGTCACTTTCTCTTTTGTATTATTGTCAAAAAGCTACTTAATATAATTATTCTTGTACATACTCATATTGTATTGTGTATGCTAAATCATAATGTTAAAGCCTGGTTTATTTAGTTAAAAAATTGTTTTAAAGTCTTTGAGATCCCTATTGCTCTTTACTCTGCATTGCAACGCTGGCATTTTTACACTATAGGACACATATCTCCCATTTTATCCTAAACATATCGCTGTATACAGAATGAATGGAAGATCGTCCCTCAACAATGTATCACAGTCCGCCTGTTTTTGTTTTTGTTTTTATATCTGCATTGGGCTATTTTTAGCTTCTATAGAAGTCAATGTTGGAGAATAGTTTGCAGATTTAGTTACATAATATTGATTACCTGCATTTAAATGTGAGTGGTGGATTCAGTTAAAGCTGGAGGACTTATACCCCCCTCCTGAATAATGCATATACACACAATACATACACACAACATATACGTGTCAATGTCACTGTGAGATTTATTTGTATAGCACATTTACAACAACCCCAGCTTCCCAAAGTGCTTCACAGGGATGAAAAAGTGCTCATATACAACACCTACACATTCAATATACATAACTCTAAGCAGAAGAAGTCTTGTCAAAGTCACATGATCTGTTTATCTTATGAGAAAACATCTTTCACATACTGTGTTAGGGGGTCCTCTCTTTGTCACTTTTCTGTCTGAAAAAGCCGATCCAATGAAGAGGGGATAAAACTAGTGACAGAACCAATGGTGGTTGGAAAATTAGATTACCCATGGGCTTTCATTTTTCAATGTCATTTTGTCAGATGAAGATGATGTTTTAAAATATCTTCAATAATGAAAAATAAATTACGAAAAATACTAGTTCCTTCATGACTATTAGTTAATGATAACATGGTATCTTCTTTCAGTGCGATATTACTATTACAGGAATGCAGTGTAAACTAACATACACACACCAAACTCATGCAATGCAATGTGGGGGAAGTGTCTTGCCTAAGGACACAACAACAGCTACTTCCACTACATCACCTGCTGTTCCCAGAGGGTTCCCATCACACACAGTCAGATACACACCATAAGAAATACATTGTAATAGTTTACAATTCTCTCTTTTACCGAGTAGTTCTTTGACGAGCCAGATCTATTCTAGAGCCACACACAGACACACGCACACACACACACACACACACACACACACACGCACGCACGCACGCACACACACACACACACACACACACACACACACACACACACACACACACACACACACACACACACACACAGTGAGCAAATCCTTTCAAATTCACTGCCATGAACAAAACACGTTGAAAATTGTAATAAGAGAAATAGATAAAGTATCTAACTTTGCATAAGTTAGATTTCTATTGTTGTCCGTCATGTCTCATAGGTGCACTGTCCTCTCTCAGCTCCACCTGCCCGAGTGCCCGACTCCGGCTTAACCCACACTTAATCTGTCATTAGGGGGTTATTTTCAGACACACACACTGAGAGAGAGAGACACACACACACACATACACACATACACAGACACGTCCCCAGTTCGCCCTGCGTTGCGTCCACTCCACTAACTTTACCCACGCTTCTGCAGCGAGAGCCATGGAGACGGACCACTTCGACGACCGGGACAAGAGCCAGAGACACAGCCGCGCCAGCGGGAGGATGAACGGGGTCATGAGTCCCTCACACAGCGCCCACTGCAGCCTGTTCCGGACGCGCACCCTCAAGACCCTCAGCGCCGAGAAGAGAGCCAAGAAAGTGCGCTTCTACCGTAACGGGGATCGGTACTTCCACGGCATCGTCTACGCCATCTCCGCGGACAGGTTTCGCACTTTTGACGCGCTGCTGGCCGACCTGACGCGATCCCTGTCCGACAACGTCAACCTGCCCCAAGGCGTGCGCACCATCTACAGCCTGGACGGGACCAAGAAGATCAGCAACATCGAGCAGCTCGTAGAAGGTACGTGTTATTGTCCCCATTTGATTTTTATAGTACCGTATTTCTTGGATTATAAATTGCAAGTAGGCCATAGTTTGGCATAGTGACATTTTTTTATATTTTAATTGGTATATTTTATTTACCGTAAAATATCAAACAATAGCCCAGGTTTTCAAGTTGAGCAATTAAAAATGCGGCTTGTGCATTTATTATGCATAATCCTAATAATACGGTAGAAGAAATCCCGGTTGGAACAGGGTCTTTCTGAGTGGAGTTTGCATGTTCTCCCCGTGTCTGTGTAGGTTTCCTCTGGGTTTTTTTTTAGTGGTAGGGTTTTCCCTACCACTAAAAACATGTACAATAGATCAGGGTGAATGAGTGTGTGTTTGTGAGTATGAATGTGGGACAACGGATGCAAATTAGGCCACAATCCGGAGAGTATCAACACACACTGTCCCAACACAACAAATTAATAGATAAAATAATAATAGTAATGCATAGGTTGTATATAGTGTTTTTTAGACACTCGAATAGTGTCATTGTGCATTCAACTCTTTACACTGTGATGAACTAATACTGTAGCCAGAGCTGCCCTGAGGCACACTGACAGAGGCAAGGCAACCAGGCTGCGCCATCGGCCCCTCTGACCAACACCAACCATTCACACATACACCAGACTCATAGGCCATGTGGGTTTGGCACTTTACTGCCGCAGCTGCCCCACTCTGGCTCCTGGTGTTCCCAAAGGTCTTCCATCACAGTACTAACCAGGCCCTGCCCTGCTTAGCTCCAGAGGTCTGACGGGATCTTAATACATATAAATATAACAGAACTGTTTTAGATGGATTTTTTATCAGCCAAAGTACATCTGTGACATGTTAGTGCCATATGAACCAACATAGACTCTGAGGAGCACAGAGACTGGCCTCCTGCTGGGACTCTGAGGAGGACAGGGACTGGCCTCCTGCTGGGACTCTGAGGAGGACAGGGACTGGCCTCCTGCTGGTCCCAGAGTCTGGACTAAACAGAAAGATTTACGCTTTTTATAGGTACTGTGATTAATTATGCCTTGTGTATGGACTGTGCCATTCAAATAAACTTGCCTTCCTTTACTTATAACACACATACACACAGTACATACATAGATATATAACAACTACATGGTTCCAAAAGGGGTTGAATGAAATACCTATAAAATACAGTGCTATAATGACATCATGCAACAGAATTCAAAAAGCACATACTTTACATTGCCTTCATTCGTCCCACTTAGGGGGAAATGTCAGTGTTGCATCAAAAGTTATACAACAATCTCATGCTCTATTATTTCTACTCAAACTCATTGGAGGCAGCTGGACAATACGTGCTTTCATTATTGGACAAAACAAGATGCAAACTCCTCCACAAAGTTATTTTCTGCTCCACCTCCAGAAACTCAACACCATTTGTTCTTAATGATCCACTCACTGAAGATTCACTGTTTTTAAATAACACTTCACTTTCATGGAAGCAGAAGTTACATATTGCTTTTATACTTTAATTTTCAAAGTTTTTCCTTGAGTTTTTGTTTATGATGTTACTTCCTGGTTGGACTTGGTTGAGGTAGTTACCATAGCTATAAAATAAAAGCTTGTTACTGTATAATAAATATGTCTCCATGTTTAGTCCTGACACTGGGCACCAGCAGGAGGCCAGTCCCTGTGCTCCTCAGAGTCCCAGCAGGAGGCCAGTCCCTGTGCTCCTCAGAGTCCCAGCAGGAGGCCAGTCCCTGTGCTCCTCAGAGTCCCAGCAGGAGGCCTAAGCCAGTCCCTGTGCTCCTCAGAGTTGGTTTATATGGCTCTAACATGTCACAGATGTCATCCTTGCGTTTACCCTTTAATAGTTTCTTCTACCATTTGGTGAATCACTTTTGAGTCTCTTTACTGTACGGACTTAAAATCTTTGGGACATCTCTATCAGTTGGTTTTACCATCAAACTGCATCTCAACCATTTGTTAAAGGCATTGAATAAAAAATAAACACCTATAGGTTCAAAACAAAACATATACACTAATTATTTACATCTTGGAAAATAAAAATTGAAAATTGCTTTCCTCTGTGATCTTTCTTTAGTATAGTATTAGTTTATTCGATCTCATGTTTTCAAAGATTGTATATACATTTTACAATACAATAAAATATAAAATTGTGTCTATTAGGAATTTTAGTGCTAAATAATGCCTGACTGAAAGGAGTTTAGGCTGAAGTTGAGATTTATACTGCCTTACCCCTAATTTACGTTAGTATTTGTCTAACAGCAAAAACATAAATCCCTTGTGTCTGTTGCTGTTTCTCCCAGTCCTGGTTTGACAGTCTCTTCTGCAGCCTGACAACATTCTCCATGTTTCTGTCTCCAGGCGACAGCTACGTCTGCAGCTCCATTGAAGCGTACAAAAAAGTGGACTACACTAAAAACATCAATCCCAACTGGTCTGTGAACGTGAAGGCGGCGGCGGGCTCCAAAGCGCCAGCATCTCTGGGCAGCGCCAAAACCCAGCAGGACTGTCGCGAGTGCAAGGACTTCATCAGACCCAAACTGGTGACCGTGGTGCGCAGCGGAATGAAGCCCCGCAAGGCCGTCCGCATCCTGCTCAACAAGAAGACCGCCCACTCCTACGAACAGGTGCTGACGGACATCACCGACGCCATCAAGCTGGACTCCGGAGTGGTCAAGAAGATCTACACGCTGGAGGGGAAGCTGGTGAGTCCATTATATTGGGTTTGTGGATGTTACGGGACTTTCTGGACTATCGCGCACTTGTGTATGAGACCAGCAACAGATTTAAGTAAATTAGAGTTTTCCCACGTATAAGCCGCGCTGGAGTATAAACTGCAGGTCTTTGTGTTGTGATGTAGCAGAGAGCCGAGAGATAAAACAGGGAGCAGAGAGAGAGAGAGAGATAAGAGGGAGAGATAAGAGAGAGAGACCAAAAAGAAAGGTATACACATGTTGTGACGTATCAGATAGACAGAGACAGAGAGAGAAAAGAGAGAGAGACCAGAGAGAAACAAGATCAAGAGACCAGAGAGAGACCAGAGAGAAACAAAAGCAAGAGACCAGGGAGAGAGACCAGAGAGAGATCACAGAGAAACAAGAGCAAGAGACCAGAGAGACCAAGAAGAGAGACCACAGAGAGACCAGAGAGAGACAAGAGCAAGAGACCAGAGAGAGACAGGGGAGAGAGACCAGAGAGAGACAAGAGCAAGATACATGAGAGAGAGACCAGTGAGAGAGAGGTGCGCGATGAGAGACACATCTGGTGATGAAGTGGGAAGATCCAGTCTGTGTGTTACAGGCACAGTCCAATAGGAGGATCTTGGAGTGACGTTGTTGTGTTGTGTTCCCGCTCTGGTCACGAGGCAGTGTGGCACTATAGCATTGAAAGCTACCTGGATGCGAGAGAGTTAGCTAGTTTTAGATGTTTGGAGAGAGGTTCTACTAAATCAAATGGTCCATTCTTGTTGTGTGGTCGGTTGTACGGCCCGCTTGGGACTGTTACATGCATGCGCACGCGGGTGTAAACAAAGATCTTCTTATAGGTTGTGTGCGTGTTCTAGAATAGTATTCTGATCTTGTAGAGCAGGTGTCGATGCAACGCTTCAGGAAAGAAGCATTTTTTAAAGTTAATGTTGGAAAGAAAATTAGTTTTCCACTTCATTATTTGATTTTTTTGAAGCCGGCATTTTATTCTCATGTCTACTGGCCAACATCAAGCAAATGTTTTGAATAATGTCATCACTTCTGGACAGCTTTATGAGAATCTAATGAGACCATAGTTGATGTTTGCTGAAAAGGAAGACGTTGAATTTTGTGACAGTTTTTTGTGTGTATCGGCCCAGGGATTACAGAGAAATTAGCTCTAAACCAATTCGGAAATACTGGAATTCTGAGTGTGTGTTACATATGCATATCTTGTGTTCAAACTGTTTGATTCTCTGATCTGTTGTGGAGGAATCGACAATGCTGAAAAGTCCTCCGAGGCGACTGCTGTTGTGATTTAGGACAATACAAAAACACATTCTGTTGAATTGAATTAGATACATTTTTACAGAACAGTTACTGCATAAAGATGATGTAGACGTCCTATGCTCTTTCTGTGTCTGCGTAGGTTTACTCCAGGTGCCCCGGTTTCCCCTACCCCTAAAAACAAATATACAATACATACATACATAACACCCTCCCCTCTCTCTGCTGCTCCCAGTGGGACATTCCTGATTAAATGATAGTCAATGAAATAACATAATAAAAGGTCTAGAGGTAGAATCGAACCAGGACCTTCTAGTAATGCAATTTTTATCCTGTTGAGTGAGTGTTGTTGTGATCTGTTTCTATCCTGGCTCCGTGGAGGTGGGTGGACCATCAAGGGGTTTGTGATATTTGTATTTGAGGTAACAGCAGCGAGCGTGGGAGAGCAGACTCCATTCATAGACCTTACTCAGCTTCCATTTTTAACCGTGACCTCCTTCGGCTTTGCCCGTTCTCGCCGTGCGCCTGGTTTTCATTCATAAGAGATGGAGAGACCGCAGAGAGAGAGAGACCAGAGAGAAAGACCAGAGAAAAAGACCAGAGAGAGACTAGAGAGAGACCAGAGAGAGACCTGAGAGAGAGACCTGAGAGAGAGACCAGAGAGAGAGAACTGTGAGAGAGACCAGAGAGAGACTAGTGAGAGACCAGAGAGAGACTAGAGAGAGAGACCAGAGAGAGACCAGAGAGAGAGACCAGAGAGACCAGAGAGAGAGACCAGAGAGAGAGACCTGAAAGAGAGACCTGAGATAGACCAGACAGATAAACCAGAAAGAGACCAGAGAGAGAGACCAGAGAGAGAGAGACCTGAGAGAGAGACCAGAGAGAGAGACCAGAGAGAGAGATCAGAGAGAGAGACCAGAGAGAGACTGGAGAGAGACCAGAGAGAGAGACCTGAGAGAGAGACCTGAGAGAGAGACCTGAGATAGACCATATAGAGAAACCAGAGAGAGAGAGACCTGAGAGAGAGACCTGAGATAGACCAGACAGATAAACCAGAAAGAGACCAGAGAGAGAGACCAGAGAGAGAGAGACCTGAGAGAGAGACCAGAGAGAGAGACCAGAGAGAGAGACCAGAGAGAGACTGGAGAGAGACCAGAGAGAGAGACCTGAGAGAGAGACCTGAGAGAGAGACCTGAGATAGACCATATAGAGAAACCAGAGAGAGAGAGACCTGAGAGAGAGACCAGAGAGAGAGACTAGAGAGAGAAACCAGAGAGAGAGAGACCAGAGAGGGACTAGAGAGAGACCTGAGAGAGAGACTAGAGAGAGAGACCAGAGAGACACCAGCGAGAGACCAGAGAGAGACAAGAGCAAGAGACAAAAGACCAGAGAGAGACCAGAGAGAGACCAGAGAGAGACCAGAGAGAGACCAGAGAGAGACCAGAGAGAGACCAGAGAGAGACCAGATAGCGCCTGGTTTTCCTTCATAAACGTCCTTTTGCAAGTGACATGAAATATTGATCTGTGGCTTCTGCGGCTGTTGATCGTGATGCTTTTGAAGCGACCGCAGTTTGAGGCCACTCACATCCTTCATGAATCATTTCTTCGATGCTAGTTTTGTGTTGTAGGAGAAAGTAATACGACTGTGCGAGTTCAGACGGTGAGAAGATCTAAGTGCAGAGTGTTGTAACCTGCTTTTTACACTCAAAGCTGAAGCAGTAGTAGGTCGTATCTGTCTTAAAGAACATGGCAAAAACAGGTTGACTCAAATACTATAAAAACGAGGCAACATTTTTCTATTACCGTGGCATTGTTGAAGGCCAGACATAGTTGAAGACTTGTTTCCATCTACAAATGAACAAGGAGAAAAGCACAAAAGCACACAGGGTATGACTCATTTTTGCACAGATTTGCACATCTCGAGACAGAAAGTTTAGCGCATTCCTCTTTATTAAAGGTACACTGTGTAGTTTTTCCTCCCATCTAGCACTGAGATCATATACTGTATTGTAATCTAAGGTACTACAGTAGTCTGGCCTTATCCATCCGTACACTCCGCTCAATCATCATTTCCTGCATGTAACGTCTGGGTCTAGTCCCTGTGTTTGCGATTACAATCGGTTGAATTCCATCCAACCAATCAGCGAGCACGGGAGGCGGGTGTTGTAATTCGATGTGGGTGACGTCAATGGGTTCTATCAAGGAATTGAAGCCGGAGGAAGGGTAATGTTTAGCAAATGTAGTCGCTAGAAAAAATTGTGACGCTACTCCCCACCGGCTCCGTTAGCTGCAAAGGAGATGGCTATGCTAAATGCTAAATGCTAACGACTCACTCGGGCGCATTACATACGTCACTGTAAACTCAGACCCAATCGTTTCAATCTGCAAAAGGAGTTAACCCCTCCCACCTGTTTACATCAATGGAGCACGAAATGTAATTTGTACTATGGTGTGGTACGACCAGGCTAGTAGCTTCGCAGGACAATATGTGGTCTTTGACAGTGGTCCCAGTCAAACTCCTTTTTGTCCCTTATCAACCACTGTATTTCAAGGTGGCGCATTGACACAGAGAGTACAATTTTAAGCCTATGACGACAATTCAAAAACATGGTGGAGGTAAATATTCTTAAAAAGGTCACATTTGTTTTAGGTTAACATGTTTTTTCATTTGCAGCAACTGTAAAAATCACACTGAGCACCTTTAAAACAACTTTGTAAAATAAACCCAAAATTATATCTTTATGTTTTTGGTTTTAAACCTGACAAAATGTGTAAAAGTTCAAGTTGTATTTATATATTTGAAACGCAATATAAGTCAAGAGAAGAAAGCGGGAATTGGAGCAAAACTTTGTGCATCGAGCTAGCGGGTTAGCCATCTATTGTCCATCTATATACAGCTGGGAATGTATAATGTAATTGGATTTTTGGTGGCTAGGTTTTTGCCATTCCTAGATTTTGCTCCTTTTGGCTCCTCTAGATTTACAAAGGCTGTATCACAATACATTGCAATATAAATATAACCACAATCAAAGGGAGCGCTAAACATGACTTTTTAAGCCCAAAATGTTGAGTGCGACACAAGCAGTCACTGAGCTAGAAGAGTTTACTTTTACATGAAAGTCCGTAGGAGCCAGAGCGACTTGGAGCAACTTTGTACTTGACCACTTCCTTATTGGGCTACATTGAGCTAGCGGGTTAGCATTGTCCATCTTTAATACAGGCTGTGAATGTAACACGCATACTTAATCCTGTTTAAAATGGAAAATGCATGATAGCCACAGAGTTACAGGCACGTTTCCATTTTGCACTTTTGGGAATCATTAAAGTCTGTCTCTCTCCTTTTTTCACATTTGCATTGACTTCCTGCTCGGTCGTGTCCTGTGGCCGGGTTTAAAATAGGCCAAACTTTCCAATGGATTCTTTGACATAACGTTTCACACCAGTGTCTCTCTCTCTCAGTACATCTCACTTTATGCTAGCAATAAAATAGAAAAAACGGTCATATCTTGTTATTTTCCCCTTCTTTCAAGTCTACAATTATACGTGCTGTGGAAGACTAGTTTTTTCTGTGGTTGCCGTGGTTACTGATGCTGTCGGGGAGATTACACAATGATTGCGCTGCTGTTTCAGGGCCTGCGATGGTTTTGCTATTTTTAGACCTCGTATTGATTGGGTCTGTCGCCATGGAGACCAGCCCAGCATCTACTATACTATATATTGTCATTTTTGTTAAT